ATACAGGCAGTACAGCAGTGATTGCCCAACATAGCCAGCACTGACTGAGGACACAACAACGAGCTGGGAGCGGGGAAGCGTAACACTGCCTTCACCAACCAGTTGATATACAGAGAGCAGGCACTAGCGGGAACACTATGCCAGAAGAAGTTACTACACCTATGCTTGGAGTGAGTGCGGAAACACAGCCTCTCCAATAAGGTGATCTGATGCGCTAATTACAAGCCGGCTTCGGGCGAAAATACCAGCCAACTAAACAGGACACACCTATGTCGGGAGAGAGCGCAAACACACTGCCTTCACCGACAAAGGGTATACGACAGAATAGAAACACAGTTGTCTATAAGCGGAAGCGCTTCAACTAAACGACAATGAGGCAAACTCACTGAGGGGTAGGAGCGCAAACGCCGCCTCCACGCCGAAAAAAAGGGCAGGCACCAACAACAGGTGCTGCCGGTAGTAACAGTTAACGCAAACGAAAACGTGAGCCTTAAACGATAAGTCCAACCACCTGCGAGCGAGAAGATGTAAAGGAACATCAGGGGTCACATGTGACTTTGTTGGTATAGCTACTCGACCTGCGCATGTGCGATATGGTATCATTCAGTGCTTAAAGGACCGCCTCTGGCAGTCAGGAAGGATGAAATAGAACAACGTAAGTGTAACATTTTCTCCTCTTGCTTGTTATTTTAGCTGTATTTATTTACTCCAGTAACTTTACGATGTAGCGGAAGTCCGCTTCGCAGTTTTTGAAAATAAAAGCACATCAGCGCATCACAAAGAGCAGTTTTGAATCTGGTTTTTAGAGCTAACTGGGTTACTAACAATGGATGTTCATAAAGTTAGTGTCTAATTATAATCTTTTGTAACTTTGTCTTGTTGTATGATGTGTCAGCTAACATTAGTTATTGGACATTAAATGAAACAGAATGTGTTGATTTGCTAGAGGGTGGTAATATAGGCTACTAGCATTAGAACACCCGCACTTTTAAAATGGCTGCTCCACCCCTGGGTGTGTATACCAGAAGATCAGTGTGTTTGGCTGTTACCATAGGTTTGATTTAAAGAATAAAGACTATTTCTCAACTGAAACAAGGACTGGACAAGTTTGGTAAAATGACATTCAAAATTCAAATGTTGATCTAATAAATATCACATTTTCTAGAGTTTTTCTTGATATTATTGTGGAGAGGTCCGTCATAATGACTTACTCCTTAACTTTTTGACTCCAGTTCACAAAACTTAATTATGGCTGCATAACAGAAGCGGCATGCAATAATCTTGTCAAAGCGCTTTAGTAAAACTGATATGCTTGCTGCTTACTTGCAACTCTGAATGAACAATGAAATTGATATCATCCAAGTAGCAATCCATAAAGTAAGGACTGATCAGGGAACCTTACATAAACGGCCTCTGCTTAGCTTCTTTAAACATGCAATTAGTCTTTTTCTTCCAGTTGGGTCCCTGAATATTTGAGAAGAGTTGCAATTTCCTGAGCAACCTCTGCCTTCAGCTGTCACAGTTGAGTTAAGAGTTGAGAGAGAGAGAGAGAGAGAAAAGAGGTGAACATTGAGATGATCCGTTTTCCAAACTGAATTTCACTTGGCCTCCTTACAGTATATAAACATGGAATAGAGTGGGGAAAAGCAAAGAGATTGATAATCTGACATCTTGAAAGATTTAAAAACATTTAGTCAAAATGTTTGTGTTCTTTCAGGCGTTGATGGCCTAGCGGCTGGGTCACGACCCATGTACAAAGGCTATAGGCCAAGTGGATTTCTTACTCTATCCATTGTCCTGTCAAAATAAAATGAAAAGGCAAACAGCTTGAAAAATACAACATAAATCTTAAAATATGTTTGTGTGCATTTTTATTAAGCCAGTACAGTGATTTTCTTGTTGCTTTTAAACTCCAGGAGCTTTGCACAAACAAAATATATTGTGCATATATACAGTATATGGGTCAGGTACACAGATGTAGGAAAATAACTCCAAAGCAAGTAGCAACCTCTGGTGTTGAAAAATGAAGCTGATGCTAAAGTGTAACATCCTGTAGTTGATGAACACGTTTAGAGTTTTTCTTTTTTTAAATGGGAATGATAGCTCTTGCCTCAGTCTGCCACACTGTAGGGGGGTGGGTGAATTTTTTGACAACTCTAAAATTTTATGAAGGATAAGCCTAAGTGTTATTTGGGGTAAGATGCATAGCTGACCTGACTGACCGGCGAGCGTGGTGTAACTGTTTGTCTAGAAGCTGAAAAACCCGCCTCAGTTCCTGCTCTTGGCCTGTCGTAAGGTTGACTGAAAGTTAGGATGAGACAACATTTCCAGCATGGCGACTGCAATCCATGGGACTACAGTGAAACCGTAACTCTCCTGGTAGCTTTTTAGCCTCAAACAGTGTTCCAGGGACCTATTTTTTTCCTTTGCATAAAGTTTGTGTATTTACTTCAGAAAATATAGCATGGAATTGTTTCAGTTCTCTAACTTTCATATAGTGCACCATTAAACCTGAAATTCGTCCATTTTAATTGAATGTTGTCCCTTTTGGTGAGCTTTTTTTTTTGTTATTTACTCTGGTCATATTTCAATGAACTTCCTTATAGATCTGTTGCACTTCACACATTACCTGTGTGTAGGCAAGCCTTAACCAGAAACTGTTTAGACATTGAGTTTTCTTAGCTATAAAACATAACTGTTATACAATGATCTAACTTCCCCTAATTTCATGGTTGATTACAGGCTTGACAAAGAATTTAACACACTTATAATCAGTTAGAGTAATAGCACCAACTATGAGAAATTACAATACTCAATCTTAGATTCCTGCTGATGCAGCCAGCAATTTTTTGAATTTCCCTCGGGATCAATAAAGTATCTATCTATCTATCTATCTATCTAATTTGAGTGTAAGGATTAGAGTTTGGTAAAATAGCTCCTGGGAGTGGCACACACAGTACGCAGGTAGGTACATGAAACGACTTATCAAAAAGTAACCTTAAGCAAACAGTCTGTAGATGAACACTAAACCTTTGGAGATTATAGATGCCATTTAAATTCCAATTCACATCATACTTAATGATTAAAAAGATTGCAAAAAGTGTTCATAGTTTTATACTTCTATGAATGGGCAGGTGCCACAAATTATGTTCCACAATAAAGAAGTAAGTGCACTGTAATTCAACTTTAAATGCTCAGATGTCCTTGGAAAAAAAACAGTTTACGCCAGAAATCAACTATAGTCATAGCACCACCTACTGGCATCAGAAGAAGGCTCTTTTGATTTTTTGTCTTTAAGCTTAATGATTGAGGTTATCTCAAATGTGATAAGAAAAGCAGAAGATGTTGATAATGCTCTTTTTGTAAGTTCTCATCAAACTGTGTGACCCCCAGAGACTCTGCATATGTTTTATGTGTCACCATGAATCGGGAAGATGTTGTTATTTAAGCAAACAGCCTTCAATCCACGTTTTTGATAAAAGTCCCGGTAAGGTGTGGCTGGCCTAGTGGTCAGTTTGTGCTCCCCATGTATTGTCTTTGAAGTGATGTGTCATTACCCACTCTCTCTCTCTCCCTGATTTAAGACTATATCCACTGACCTGTCTAAATATAAAAAGCACAACAATCATTGACTCAAAACCACCTATACTGCAGTAAGCCATCTGTTAGAAACACTATTCACTAAATGCCATTTGCATGGTGTGGGCTTCACCTGATGTATCCAAATGTGTGTTCTCCAGCACCACATACAGTAGTGGATTCAGGATATCTAATTTAACTTCTTTGTGAAGGATCCAAAACACATGACAATTCTTTGCTAAGTCCAAAGTTCAGTGTCTTCTAAAGTCACCACTGGTGTATGGCAACATGTGCATATGAGTTTGAGGGTTACAACATGTGAAAGTGCTTTTAACAATATTATGTTTGTGATGTTTTATGATGTATTCCCCCGATTCATTCTTGAAAAATGTTGCTAAAAGTTATGTAATGACATGGTCTCTTTCTTCCCCATTGAAAAATCAGTGTATGAAATCAGACACTATAGCTGTCTCTTGAAATTTCCCTGTGCCTGCAGCAGAGGCTTAATGTTTGCAACTTTGTATGCATGACTTGCAATGCAACGTTCTAAGTTGTGGAATTTTTACATCATGGCACAAAAAGAAAGAGTGTGTGGTGAAGACTTCATTAATGGAGCCACACATTTTCCGATGTCAGTTAGAAAATATGTTGTACATCAGTGAAATGGGTGAGTGTTTGAAATTTAGTGTCAGCTCTGATGAATCACGCTGAACAATAAATCCTGTATTTTGAAAGGGCATCATGTTATAAAGGAGTCTATGACTATTGCTGATACATCTACAGAAGGTGTAGGTGTTTCTGAATTGTCTTAAAGACTGACAAAATGATTTTACCTTTGTACACAGGTAAACTTTGTAGCATTGAGGCAATACCTTTGAAAATCATTAACTTCGAGAATCCATTATCAATTTGTCTTGAAAAGGCAAATAAAAGAATTGGATGAAATGTGGGGGGGGATAGGCTTGTGACAGCAACAAAAAACAAATTGAGGGAGAGTCCTTTAACAAATGACTTATAGATAACAACTTGTTGTGAGCGGGTTAGCCAGCAGACATGGCACATCACAAATAAAGGAGAATTCACGTTTCCTCCTCTAAAAAAAAAAAAAAAAAAAGATAAATATAAATCATTGAGTTCCCTTTTTTTTTTTTATTAAACGGGGGAAGTGCCGATATTTCTAACCGATAGGAAAGTCTTTTCCTGATTTCACCAAATTTAACCAAACCGAAGTGGAGCGGCTCTGACTCTGTAGATCTCAGGTTAGGAGGAGTTTATGATTCCTGCTGCTTTCCTAGGACATTTTACCAAAACGTTTCCGCTGCGTGAGAGTCGGGTTGAGCAGAAAACAGTAACGGTGACCTCTAGAGACTTCTCTCGTGCAAAGTTCCAGACCTCGTGGCCAAGTAAACACTTTCTGGGGAATGAGCCAAACTGACCGGCAGTTATCTTGTATCAGAATTTGGTTGGGGGGGGGGGGGGGAATAAAGACAACTGACGGTACGCGCGCTCCCAGCATGGCACAAAAATCTGAGGAAAGTGGGATTTATTTCGCCAAAAACTCAACGGGAAACAGCGCCGGCTGGCTAAAACAATCCAACAGTACAGCGCAAAACATTTACGGATCCGGACACATTCATCCGATAGCCTGTGACATGGAAAACCCCTGCTGTCAAACAGCTGCTGCTCCTCAGGAGGAGTTCTTAAACGCTGACTGCCGAGTGGGCGACAGTCGCTCTTTTCCCGCCTGCGCCTCAATCTCAGAAACAGCCAGAGAGCTGTGCAAAGCTGTGTCCGTGTCACTTGGACTCACCATGGAGTCCACGGACACGAGCGACATGGACGCTTCTCTCCCCTCGTGCGCAGATTATTTGTTCGGAGTTGGAGCGGTGCCGCTGAGCTGTCCGCGCGCCCCGGCTGCTGAGTTACCTCCACGCGGACACAAGCAACTGGTGGACATGTTCAAAAGTTCAGAGAGTGCCTCGCGCCTGCAACATCTCACCTCCACACAAACATGTGCGGACGATCCAAACTTCACACTGTGCAACTCCGAGGACAGAATTTCAGAGGAGATAGATCATCTGGACACCGCGCGTGCTGCCTCTTGCCCTTATGCCCAATCCGCCCCATCCGATTTGGCCCAGATATCCACAGGGAGGCCGTGCAGGGTCTACAAGCCCCCCGATGAAGCGCGAGACGTTGGGGAAGCCATGGAGAACAAGTTCGGTGGATATAATCCGGAACAATTCGGCATCAAAATCAAAACTGAGGACACTCAACATGCAGGAGCGTTGTGGGGAGGTAGTTACACCTTTAATGAGAAATACAATTCTCAGGGTTGGGGTTTGAGGCAGTGCATGAATGCAGATAGCATAGGGGCAAACACAGCGTTCATATGTAATCCATACGAGAGGAGCGTGGTGCGTCCTGAGCAGTGGTACCCGGACGGGATGCTGAGGCCGCCATATCCCAACTCCAGCTATGTGAAGAGCGAGGTGGGCGAGTGGCTGGATGTCGCCTACAATGACACCAGGTAATGGATCACTTTGATGATATTATAATTTTGCAAAAAAAAAAAGATAATATGACCTTTATTTAATTCCTATAGGTATAAAGTCTTACCACAGTCTGGCCATAATCTGATCTCAGATAATGCTAAGAGCGTGTTCCCATCCTAATAATCCCTCATAAATCTGATGTTCTTGATCATGTGCAGTCTGCTTGGAAATGAAAGGAGAAAAATGATGAACTTAATGATAAAAAAAACAAAAACCTGAACTTCAATAACAGGGGAAAGTGATTAATTTTATTCATCAAAATTCATCCAACTGTTTTAATTATTTTTTTCATTTTAAGGTATTTTGGATAAAAGCAGTAACATTTACTGTTGACTTGTTTTATCAGTTGAATAAATGTCAAACGAAACAGATGATAGAAAATATCACATTGTGTTCTGCAGACAGGAGTGCATTTAAGGACATTAACAGAATATTCGTTTTTATCACATTGGAAAAATGTTGCTTCTTTCTTTATGATAAAGTTGATTCAACCCAGAATTTGTTTCACATACTTTTTAAAAAAAATAATTCCTATATATTTTGTGAAGAAAAAAACAAAAAGGTGTTGTGTAATATGTGTTTTTTTTTTCATGTCTGCTGGTCTCCTTTATCAAACATAAAATATGTTGAGTATCAGGTGTCTGGGACAACTCACAATCTCATCTTTGAGACCACTATAGTGTTACAGTGTAATGATTGCTGCATGCTGTTAAAAATGTGCACAAAAAAAACACAATTAAATGTTTGCTGATAAGTGGATTTGATTGTCAACTAAGTTTTTGACGGGGTAATTTATTCATGAGTTTATTGGATTAGTCACAGATTTGATCTGGAAAGATACAACAGAGTGTGTGTTGAATGGAATTTTGGGAGATTAATACATAACTATTTATTTTATGTTATGTTATTTTCAAAAGGTATCCCCACATAATGGGGTTTGGTTCAATTTTACTCTAGACATTTGACAGAGTCTGTCTGACAGAGCCACCGGTGGTCTTAGATCACCTCTACATTCCTTTTTATTGATTTTTAGTCCCCTCTATTTTTATTACAGAGTTGTAGTGCTCATTTATACTGTACATTAGACTTATTCTCTGTCTGATTTCAACCTAAATCCTGTCTGCCCTCAGTCACAAGAAAGTGTGTTTAGTGGACATCATTATTGACTGACTGTGATTAAGTGAATGATTGAGAGCTATCAGTACACTAAGACTCTATAAACTGTGCACAGTAAATGACTACACCTGAAACATTCACAGTACTGTTTATTTAATGTGTATTTGGTAAATTGCTAAACTTGAAACGTTTCAGTATTTCAATTGTCAGCTGCAAAATCTTAAACAAATATCTGCTCTCAGCACAGAAGCACATGGAGGATTGCTGCGTTTGTTTTATTTCAGTTGAATGATCTTTTCTTCCTTTAATATTTCAGACCACCAACAGGCTGCAAATTCGGGTTATTGGGTTTCTATAGTTCGCAGCTTAGACTTCTAAGCAGGATACCTTGAAAAAAACTGGATTTCAAGCTTTCCCTTTGCTTATAATCTCTAATCCTGTTTCTCATTTTAAGAGGCAGATCCTCTAAATAATCAGGACAATGTGACTAAATTAAACTATTTGATCCGCCTCTGCTGTAAATTTGAGTTTTGCGAAACAAACATATCTGAGTCTGAGTTTGTCTCATCTGTTATTGTGATTTTGTTCTTACATTTGGTATCTTGCAACTGATTAAAATGCGGCTCATAACTACTTCATGCATGTTGCTTGGGGAAAGGGACTTTTCGGACCCATGAATGGAACAATTCATGAATTAAACCACCCAAACAATATTAGTCTGTCACCCACACATGGGCCACATTCTGACTGTCAGGCCTGAGGGCAGAACATTTTTGTTTTATTTTTCTATCTTTCATTGAGACAAATAAAGACACCTCTGTACTTGTTTATTACATTGTGACATAAACAGACAGTGATGAGTTGATCCTTTAAAATGATTACCCATTTTTTTTTGGAAGAGATAGAAGAAGAGTGAAGAGAGATGTGAACCTTGTGCCTAAGATTTTGACTTGTGTGTCTGTGTTGAGTGAAGGGAAGGAGTGTACACTAAAGGAGCTAGCCAGTGATACTAGTGGAATATTTACGATACTGTTGAGAGGATTTGTCTGTAAAACATTTGAACCAGCCTGTGTGTGTGAACTATACAGTGCTGTTATCTCACAAATAAGCATTTATGATACAAAGAAAAATGAGGCAAACAAATTCATATCAAACAGACTAAATCAAATATTTTGAAATAAAAAGTCTGATATAAAACAGCTTATTTATATTTATGTGACTGTCGGTAGTTTTATGCATTATAAGAAAAATATGACTAATGCACCACAGCGTGCTCAACAGAGCACAAACAAGTCGGACTCATCTGAGTTTACTGCTGCATGAATCAGATAGAATTGTGCATAGAAAAGGGCTTAAATTATATTTGACTGACCTTTATCGTTACAAATTTTCAAACTATGAAAAATCCTGTAATTTATTTAGAAAATGGTGGGAATGTTTTTGAACAAAAAGTTCAGTATCAGTTAAAGAGGGAAACTTGTTTTTGCCTAGGCTTGTTGATAACACGTGTTACTACAAAGTATCTCATACTGTCCAGTAGATTTCATTGTTTGTTTTACAACTAAGAATAATGTAAATGTGTAAAATATAGACGCGCAAGGATGTGAGTAAACGTGGTCATGATCCTTATTTAGAGCAGAATATTTAAACGATTCAGCTACTATGCCAAATCTGATCAAATCCAAATCTAATTATTTATTAGTCTGATGATAAAGAGTGTATTTGTTTTTAGCTTTCCTTAAGAAAGAATGTAGTGTAGAAAAGTTACAAATTATAAGGTACTGCATCAAGAAGACTAGATAGTCCACATTTGGCCTACATATGGGTGTCAGTCCAGTGTTGTTTATGTTTTTTTTATTATGGAGAGGGTTATAGTCAGATACCTTCAATCTGTCAAGATCTACCCTAAAAAACAGGATTTCACATCCCATGTATGCTGGTACTGGACTAGTTCTTTAATGTTTCTCCACACCAAAACAGTAACCTTTCTTTTCTTTTTCTAGATTATTTTTTGGTCTTTTGCATTTCTTGATAGGACAGCTGTAGAGAGATAGGAAATGGCAGAGAGAGGGGACATGACATGCACAAAATGGACAGAAGTTGAGCTGGCTACCAGTGTGACCAGCTATTTTTTTTGTTAAATGTAAGGAAACTGGTGTCAAAGAGTCATAATTACTGCTTTAATTTCAGCACAGAGTGATTTAACCTATTGCTATTCTCTTGTGGGTTCAAAGGAGATATTGGCTTTGGAGGAACACCTGAAAATAAAGTTACTTTTTGTGGTGATTGGCACTTAAGGAGAAGTGTGTTTATACTGCATACACAAAAACCTCAAGTAGCACAGTGATGCATTCTGTTGATGAAACTTTAATGTAGCATATTTAACTCTTCTTCTGTGTTTTTATTTCCCCCCCCTGCTTTTTTCTGAAGCTCTATTAAGAAAAGAGCAAGAAGGGCAAGAAAATTTGTTGCATGTTTAATCAATTTGTATGAAGCTACAGTATGCCTGATAAAAGCTATTACAAGAGCATTTGATCTCGGGTATGCCCTCGAAGGCTTATTAATGATAAAGTGGCCTCCTGATCTACCAATATTTTTTCTTCCTTGTTTCCGCAAGTTAAGGGACAGAATGATGCCTCAGTGTTTCACTGTTATAAGGTCATGTATCACACACAAAAAGGCGTTGGAGGGGTCACCTGCATTTCCTGTACACTGTGCTGGGGGCTTTTAGGCAGGTGACTTCAGAGATGTGACGTCTGACGGAAGTCCTGGCGGTGTGTTTTAAAGCACAGTTTCTGAATATGAGCTTTTTGCCTTCTGTGGAGTCTTTGTTGTTGTGACGAGTAACTCTCACGTTTACTATACGCTTTATTTTAAGTCTAATGAGAGGGTTGTCCTTTATTGAGTTTTTTTGAGGGAGTGTGTCTCAAAAATTAAGGGTAAAAAGGGGTTAATCAAACTCATCGTAGGCTACATCAATAAAGCTTATGGACACATCCACCAATCTCTGAAGGTATTGACTTATGTTCTGTTTCTGTTGTTACCCTATAAGCTACCCATTAAACTGTATGCAGTGTATAGTGAGAGGTTCAAAGAATGTGTGAACCTACCTGGATATACACAAGTTTTCATGTTTCATTCTTCATTCTTTTTTAAGTCACCCAATATTAAAATTAAATTATGAGACCAATGTTGCATTTAGGATTAGACTAGGTGAATATAGAAGTATTACTTCCAGGTTTACAGATGTTAGTGTTAAAGATTAAATCAATCCGAAGAAAGACTTCATGAGCAGGCTTTGAGCACACTGAATAAATAGCATAAGTATTTTTTCTTTTTAGAATCTTTCTTTGAAAATATCTATTTTTTTAAACCTGGCAAAATTAAAACTCATCTAACAAGGTTACTACCACAGGGAACTGTACAATGGCTTGTACTAGAAAAAGTACCTTTGGCCAGACATTCTTTTACAATTGGGCAAAACAAACCTGAAATGTGAAACCCAGAGAACGTAGTCATATTACATCTCGGGACTCCTTTCAATTACAGTTTGTGAGTAATGCTGAATTAATCTGTTGTAATGGTTAAGTCATGTGTTACACTTTGTCTGTGTTTGTGTGCTTCTATTTGTCTGTTGTCATGGGTTTAGTCTAATTGTGGACTGGCACTTTTGCATGATGGTCCTCGGACCTCACGTCTATAAATGTGCATCCATTTCTACATGAAAGTGAGATACATGAAACATAGCTTAACTTATGGTTTAGTAAAAAGACACACATCTTTGTTGCAATTGATTGGATCTTGTTATTGTAGTTCCTGATATCCTTAGTTGCCTAAAATCGAGAGCACACATCGGAGGCTCCTGAGCTAAGATTCATCCTTGTCTGCTTTACTTTGAACCTTGATATCTTAGTTGCACGTCACTGAGGCAACGTTATGTCTGAGCCTCCTGTAATCTTTCTGTGTTCAAGGCTGAAGCCAGGCACCCATCGTGGCCCCCTTATCCTCCCTCCCCTCCGCTGCAGTCTCGGTTTTGGCGCTCCCACACCATCCTCAGCCATCAGTCTCTACCCCATTTAACTTGCTCGCAGAGAGGCCTTGGCGCCAATCTGGGGAATTAACAGAAACTGCTTTGTAGTTTCTGTTGAGAAAGAATTTAACTATTTAAAAGCAATTATGGTTGTGTTGTTATGGTGAAGAAATTCAAGGTTGGTCATTATTTGGGCTATTAAATTTACAACCTGATAAAGATTACAGAAACTTAAAAACAGGCAAATCTCTCAAAGAGTGATACTGTGCACTGATCCAGCTGATACATGCAAGCTTATAGAGCGATCAAAAAATGGATGGGAGTGAAAACAATAATGTTAAAGATGTTATACTTATTGTTAAGACCTGTTTCACATGTTTGGTTGCAGATTCGAGTCTGGCAGAGAGCACATGTTCCCCATGGAGTTCTTCTTCCCGCCACAGAGGATTTGCCTGATCTGTTCAGACGAGGCGTCAGGCTGCCATTACGGAGCGCTCACCTGTGGCAGCTGCAAGGTTTTCTTCAAAAGAGCAGCAGAAGGTAAACCTGCTGGGGAGTCAAGATGTTTTTTTTCTCCACTTTGTTGCCAGGTTTTAATAGACTAAGCTGTAATTATAATTTCATTCATACACATTTTGCCAAGTCAAGTGTCTAATAATTTTTTAGAATATCACCTAAGTAAGTGCTTGTTTCTCTGTCCAAGTAGGCAAACAGAAATACCTGTGTGCAAGCAAAAATGACTGCACGATCGATAAGCTGAGAAGAAAGAATTGCCCTTCCTGTCGACTGAAGAAGTGTTTTGAAGCTGGAATGACCCTTGGAGGTAGGCTGCATGTAAAACTGCCTGTCTGAGAAACCGTTATGGTTCACCTTATTTTAATATCTAGATTTGTAGATTTATTGACAATATAAACATGGCGGCCATTTTCCTGTGACATCAATCATTGTGTGAATGGTGTTATAATATCATCGTACTGTGTTTCAGGTTATAAGTCATATTCAGGGTTATCATTATAATTTTTCTCAATTAATAAAAAAAGTGAAAATCAAGGGAGTTCAGTCTACATTAAAATTTGAAAAGGCATATTTATTTACTAATTGGCTACAGTCAGATAACAACTAAAATAAGCATTAAGCCACTTTATTAATAATAGCTAATGTTACCATTTACAATTATTCTGCAATACACTTTCTCATGCAGTGTGGACAAGATTAGAAATAAATGACTTGCTTGATATGAAGAGAAATGGTTAAATGATATCCTGTTAAAACAACAATTAGGAACATATATTTAAATTAAGAACAATTACGTTACTGAATCCTACGTTAAAGCAAACTCATCAAGAAGTCAGAACAGGAATCCTTCTTCTGGCTCTTAAAGTCGGCAGATTTAAAAACATCCCGGAGAAACACAGACTGTGTGAATTATGTGATTTAAGAGAAGAGGAGAATGAATCTCTTCTTTTTTGATTGTTCTTTTGAAGATGAGTTAAGAACACCTTAGATTAATTAAATGTACGCTCAGAATACTGAAATGTTTTGGAGCATTGATAATGACAGGATGGAACCGTTGTTTAATTTCTAAGCTGGCCGCATTTGTCTCTAAAGTCTGGAAGAAACGTCAACATCCCAACCTGAGCATGGCATCAGAGAAAAGTAGACAGCTTGAGAATATGGTTTGTTATAGCGTAACTTGCCTCTGTAAAAAAACATTCTGTACATTAGTGAGGTATGGGCTATAATAAACACTGTGCAGGATATACTGTTTGAACAAAGCCCACTTCAGAGAAAGTGAAGTCCTAAAAGTGAAACCATTAATGGTTTCCCAAGACCAAGTACTTTATTCTCTCCACAGCACTTCTTAGATGGCTCTCTTCAATTGCAGCATCATCACAATAGGGGATGTTACTGATAATCAGGCCCTGACTGCGCTGCCATGCAATTTAGACCTCTTCCATTCACTTCTCCTTACTGTCAGGCAGACCTGCTCGTCATATTAGGCTGTAAAGATTGACATGTAGTAGACTAATTTTAGTCCTGTGTTCAATTTTCACTCTCTTCCATTTTCTCATTCTGTTAACGGTGAAAATTGTGCCTGAAGCACAAAGCTGACATGAGACATGTGAATTAAAGCAGCAGACATGCTGGCAATTTTGCCACCAGTCACTGACAAACCCATGGAGGGAAAATGTGATCTAATGCTGTGATTGTAAGTAAAAAGGCACACCTTTTCTAGTTCTGGCTAAAAGAACCTCCTTTCACTTTTCTCATCCCAGACATGTAATTCACTCGCAGAGATTCAAGGGACATTTTTATGACAATCATTTGTAGAAGTGGACGTGGACAAATTATACATTTGGACTTATTACCTGTGGTTTTTCAACTCAAAATATTTTAGAGCCTAGTAAAAAAAATCTGAAGGAAAATGAGATGTCTGGTTTGACTTCTTGGATTTTGATTGATTTATTACAAAGTTGGCAGTCATATCACTTATAAACTTTGTCATTTCTAGATCATATCGATAGGATCTGTCATTTGTTTTCTGGTTTGGTGGGTTTAAATAGAAGCAATGATCTGAATGTTATGTTTGTTCAGTTTTGCATCTGCTCAAGATTGACAAGCATACTTCAACCATACAAATTGCTTCAAGTTTTTTTTTCTTTTTGTAACTCAAATCCCATATTATTTCTGGAATTTTAATGGCAACCCTGAATAGAGACCGAGCATGGAGATCACTGTTATGGCAGTGAATCTCATTTTGCTGCAGCATGAAGGAAACTCACTTCCTATCTGCACTCCAGTGTCTCATGCTGAAGGACAGCTGAACCTCATCAATTCATCTTTTTAACTATCATCCTTTATTTCACCTTTGATTGCTCTTTTCAAAAGGAACAAATTGTGTCTGTATCAAAAGTTGACGCAACACCACATTCAGAGAGCAGACGTAAGATCTATTACACATCTGCATTTTTCCTCCAACTTCTAAGGCAATGCTGTAGAGACGTTTAAATACATGACTTATTCAAAAGACCTTTTATTGGTATATTTAAGTTCTTAAAGTTTAGTGCATGACATGTTGAAACTTCATCAAAGGATGACAAAAGCTCTACCAGCTTTACAGCCACAGTCCAGTGCATTGGTTTAAATTGACTTTAGTGGTTTAAACTCCTTTGTGATGAGCAGACTTCTTTTTTATTTGCTTACTCAGTTATTCTAATCAACTCAGAATAGCATCTGAAATGTAATTTCCCCCTGCATTTACTCGGACTTCTCATACAGAGATCTCAAAGTGTTTTAAACTTGTTGTGACCTCTGCAGCGAGTCGTCGTCAGTCCTGTGGTTGTCTCTCAGGTGTTTGTGCACAAAGACAAGCTATTACCTGAACTTGTAGTGAAGGAGTAACTCAATAGGAAGAAGCCACTGAACTCTTGCTCTATGTTCACAGTGAACATAAGCTGGTTCTGTTATCATACACATATTACACTGAAAATGTTTGAATAATATAAATGACCACTTTCAGGAAAATAATTCCTTATAGTGAGGTAATAATGCAAGGCAATATGCAGGGGCATTTTCAATGTGGATTTATTTTGAAATTGGGTAAAATAAAGATTTTTTTTCTCCATTAACAGTAAATGTTTCTGTAACATGTCAGAAAATAGAGAAACATTATTGTTACATTTTACAAGGAGACATTCAAATGTCTTCATTTGTGTTTCTAGGTAAAGAGCCTTAGCATTCAAATGTTCAAATATTATGTTTGTTCAGTTTGGCATCTGTTCAAGATTGACAAGCATACTTCAATTATACAAATTGCTTGAAGTTCCATATTATTTCTGGAATTTTAATGGCATCCCTGAATAGAGAACGAGCAGGGAGATCAATGTTGTAGCAGTGAATCTCATTTTGCTGCAGCATGAAGGGAACCACTTCCTACCTGCCCTCCAGTGTCAGCAGTGTCGGCAAGGACAGCTAAACCTCATCAATTCATCTTTTTACCTATCATAGTAAATCCTTTGTTTAGGACCTCGACCCTGACTTTCATGGAGCTGATTGCTCTTTTCATGAGGTTTCTGGAACAAATTGTGTCTGTATCAAGAGTTGACACAACACCACATTCAGAGAGCAGAAGTAAGATTATCGTAGATATAACCATGAAAATAACCATAAAAATTAAAATGAAGAGATGCATTTTCCACACCTAAATTACAAAAGTAATGGTTATCACACACTGTATGTAAGGTTTTTATATTTCCCATTTCTATTTCATTTACTACTACATTTCTTTATACAGAGCTCCAATGTACAGTGTTATCAAGGAAAACTTCAGAGTGTTATCTGGATTGTGCCTGATGGCTTAATGATGGGCCAACTGGAGGTGTGACAGGTGACTTTGTGGAAGGCTGTCTCATTTCGTCCTCTTTGTGTATCTCAGGCACACTGCTTCCTCTCATACAATCCCAGAAACACAACTTACATTGTTGAGCTAATGATGTAATGACATCTTCAACCTGGACACCAAAGTGAGAGTAAAGTGGGATTTTTCAAAGGCGCACATTACTCAAAGTATTTTAAAAGAGGTGTTAAACTAACCTTGCTTTTTTTTTTTTTTTTTTTTTGCGCAATCAAGCTCACACCTTGCAACCTAAAAAGATAGTTAGGATAAAGACGGTGATTATGATGATGAGACAGGTGATGAGACACAGAGGGAAAAATGGGCGTGTAATGAATAAGTCTGTAGCTTATTCACCTGAGGTCAGTAGAGCAGGAAACAATCTTTGATACTTATACCACAGCTAAGAATTTTGGTTAAAAGTAAAATAGGGGCTTCTTGCATTTCAACCACCTGTTTTTATCGGTTTCAACTCAAAGGTGAGGATTTTGAGCTCAATCCAACCTTCTTACACTGAACTCTGCAAAGACGCCTGCCTGTGTCACAATGGAGGATCACCGGTCTGATTATTAATCAGCCCATTTTATTTGAAATATTTGTTATTGGATCAGACAAAGAATTGTGAGAGTTGCAAATGATCCTCCTTATAAAATTTGCTTTCAGCCCAGAGACTCAAGGTTGTGTCTATAACAGGCAATTCAATATTGATCCAACTGAACTGAAAAGCCAGGCGGCAGTTTTAATGAGAGATTCTCCAAAAAGAAGCTGCAGGTGAAATCAAGTGACTTTTCATGTTTAATAAGCATAACTTATGTGATGTGACTGAAATAAAATATATGTTGAATTACTTCTGTTTAAAATGTTTAGTCTTTGCAGATAGTAAAAATACAAACATAACTATGTCTGTTCTTCCATGTGCACATCAGCCATCTGTATGTGTCAATCACTACCTCTCATGCTCAGCTGTCCTGCTCAAATAACAGCTGAGCTAAAGCTGAACTTTCATACTTGTGGTAATGAAACAATGGATTATTGATGCAGTGGATCGGTCAGTGAACAATTTTAATTCGGCAGTTGTTTAGCAAGGTATAATTTTTCATTTCTCATTGTATCCCTACTTTCTGTATATTGCCGAGCTCTAATTTATTTTGAATGGAGCAGCTGGCTCCAGGGTTTTAGCATTTGCCAGCAGCTTTCATTGCAGCATTTCATCGGATTAATGGAGGCTCGTTTGCTTGTGGTTGTTTTCAGTATTTCTTTTTTTTTTTTTGGTATTATCTTGTCCCTTAATCCTTACAAGCTTTTCTATTGTTTAAGGAAACACAAATGTGATGCAAATATGCATTTTTTTTTAATTCAATAGAATCTTTACCACTTACTGCAAAAGCTTCCAGGAAGAAGCAAAAAATGTTATACTGAGAATTTTTTTTTTAATAGATCTGCATCACCAGAAAGCTCTCACACATGGTGACCATAGGCCTTTCCACCAGATGAGGCTCGTCTGTTCAGAGGGTTCTCTTTCAAATGAAACATGATTCAAATCTTCAAAGCTATTAGTAGTTCATTCTAGGTATTGTTGGCTAAAATTGATATATCCCCAAAAGGGTACTTAAAACCCACAGCTGCAGTATGAGATATTTCTAAGAGATGATTAGGAAAGCAGAATAACATGCATCGTTTTTTTTGGTTTGGCTTGTGTTCAAATTACAAATCCATTACGCATTGGTAGTCTAATAAACAGTACATTCAGATTTTGTAATTCAGTGACGAGAAAATCAGGTGTAATATTTTGATTTTAATTCAACTTTAAGGGCTTGAAAATGCAGTGAGACCAGTATCTACTATGTGGTTATTTTATGAAAAGGAAAATCTGCTACTTCTTCATCATCTGCTCATTCTGCATGTCTCCTTAATTTAACTGGTACAAGTTGAATTTACCACTAAAAGATTTCAACTCAACCTCAAAACCAGAGCTGACATTGCTGAACCGAGGGCACTCAGATGTTCATTCTGCACATTCTTTGCATAATGCCACATTCGTTGCACAAAAATATTATAATTTGACAGTAACGTCATGTTGTTTCATTTATAACACGCATGGAGGTCTGGTGTGTCAGGACTTGTATGAGGAAATAGATACACATTGATTATAAGACCTCTGCAATTCTTTCTTTGATCCAAGCGCGTAAACTAAAGAAGATTGGGCAACAGAAAAACCCTGAAGAGGATCATCCTGGTCAAGAACATTTAGATGTCATGCAGAATATCTCTCCTAAATCAGGCCTGAACTTCAACACCCAAATGGTCTTTCTCAACATCCTGGAGTCCATCGAGCCCGAGGTGGTAAATGCAGGACACGACTACGGCCAACCAGATTCAGCTGCCACTCTGCTGACAAGCCTCAACGAGCTGGGAGAAAGGCAACTGGTCAAAGTGGTCAAATGGGCAAAAGGATTACCAGGTAAACATGGCTATAACAACATTGACAATCTGTGATTCAATTTACACACAGAGAATCCAGATCTCTTCAGTTTAGTGGTCAACAAATAAGGAAAAGACACATTTTCCAGTGTGAAATCGATTTGAAAACTCTACTCAAGGCTACATTTTGTAAACTGCTACTGTATGTTGATTGAAAAACTTGTTAGTAAACTGCTGCTTATTTACTCATCCAGCCAACACAGAGAGACACTAGCGAACATTATTTTGAAGTCATGTTTCATTCAATAATGAGATCGTTTTAAAGATCCAATAATTTTAAAAGACAGGCTCCCTTGAGCTAATGGGAACTGAATAGAATCCTGTTCAGCACAATTTCACTATTATCTATATTTTCTTGCATGTTTGCTTTATTTTCCTCACTTTCTGTCTATGTAAGTTTTTAGTAACCCCAACATTTCTTTGGATGACAGGGAATGGTAGGAGGCAGGCATGGACACATTACAGGATATTATTCTTCTGTAAGTAGAAAATGCTCCATATTGCTTCATATTATATAATGCCAAATCTTTTTACCTAGGTTTTAGAACTCTCCATGTGGATGATCAAATGACTGTCATTCAACAATCGTGGATGGGGGTGATGGTGTTTGGCCTGGTATGGAGGTCCTATAAGAATGTCAACAGCAGGATGCTTTACTTCGCTCCAGATCTGGTGTTCAATGAGTATGTATCATTTTGAATTCTTCAATTCTATTTTGTTCTCTAAAATGTTTTTTTCCCAGGGTTGACCAACATGCTGTGATTTTTATTTAATTCAGACATCACAACCAGTGAGTAAGCTGGTGCTGTTCTTCTTAATACAGCCACCAGCTTCTATTTGTCGTCACATCCTTCTCCCTCAATCTTTTTGTCATTTCCTGCACATGCAAACACAAAGGCATCTCTAATTACAGAAAATAAAGCATGAATGCCTGCAGGCTATTTAGGACCCTGCTCATCCAATTTCCACATCTAAGAGCAGTGCCAATTTAGCTGGACTCCCATGCATAAGTTTTTGTGCAATGTGTATTTTGTATAATACATTGACTGTTTAAAAAAAGTGGTTGTAGCTACCATGGCATTGCCAAGTGGTTTGCGGACCAATGCTTTGAATTTCGCCACCGCCATGTTGTATTTTTTGGAGCCTGAAATTGGCTACAGGAAAGCAAGGGGTTATCAAACAACACAATTTATCAGCTTCCGCCAACACTGCCATTGCAAGGTGCATCTTTAATTCATATTACCTGTGATATTTCTAATTTTGGCAAATCTTCTTCCTAAAAAAAAAATAGAAGCCTCCTTAAGAACATTCATTAATACATCAAAACTCTGAACAAAGCCTTTTTCAGGTCCCTGTGGTGGCAACTTGGCAACCACAAGGTTACATTGCCCTAAAGCTGACTATGCTTGATATCTATTTCACTTTTAACATCATGCTGAATTTAAAAAGACTTAAAACCAGCAATTGAAACCTGAAAGCTAAATGGCAATTGTCTGTTGAGATAATGTCATAATAAGAAGTAGGGTCATTTTATAAGCAACTTCAATGCAATCAAACTTTATTTTGCAGCATATATTTGTATTTCTTTATCTATTTTTTTTTCAGTCTATGCTTCAATGCTTTTTATTGCCAAAACCAAAGACTTGCATTCTTCCAGTCACTAACACCAAATTGAACCAGTCTTTTTAGATTCACATTTTAGAGCTGGTATTAGAAATGTAATTTTGTGCAAATATTTCATATTAACTTCAATTGTAGTTTAACAAGCATTACCAGTATTCAAAAGGCCAAACCTGCATGTGTTTCCATTAGACAACATCTGCTCAAGCAGCATACCTCATTTGGTTGTAATTTATCTGTTTGTGCAATAAAAAAAAAGCCAGAAAAAATATCATGATGAATTGTATTATTCACAGACACAAATTCAGGGCAGGAACAGGTGGATTTGTATTTTAAATCACGAGAAATGCACATTTTTAAATCCATACCATATTGAGCAATGAAGGGCATAAAGTAACAAGTAACTGTAGTCACTGAGTTTATGCATTATAAAAGTAACTTGTTAGCCTTCTTGTGAAATTAACTTTAGCAGGCTTTTTTTTTGCTTAAATTAAAGCAACAGGTGAATGTATACATTAATGGGTATTGCTGTAGCAGTGTTAAGCAAGTTTGTACTTTATTTAACTAATTTAACTAATAGGGTTAGAACCTACTGGCAGGTTAAATTGGGGTAAGGAAGTAATTGAGCAGAAAAACTTGAATGGCCCCATTGAAGCTGCTTGGTCACTGGCAGACAGTACTGGTGACTCTGGGTGGCTTCCAGGTTTAATTTTGTGACTGAGTGAGTGTAATGCAGGGTACAACTCAAAGAGGGCATCTGCACTCAATTAACCTCTACAAAATAAATAAAGCTAAAACAAAATAACAGTCCACACAGCCAAGTGTCTGAAAACAAGAGAATTCACTAAAGGCTTTTTCACAGGACAACCCCGTTTCCTCTTAAGTAATGTAAACTCTAGCATACACTCATGTTAAACATCCACTTTTGTAACATCAAGTCAACCAAGAGGCCTTTGTCAATGTTAGCTTAGCATGACTAGCAACCACTACTTTGTCTAAATGACCTCAGACAAATCTTAAGAATAACTCCATGAAAAATAACTTGAAACATTGTATTTTCAACCAAAAGAAAAGACACATGGACTATTTCTACACTAAACATTTAATTATTGTTAAGCATGTAAAATATATATTTGTCAGTCACCTGTTGCTCTACAGCCTTGCTTGCACTCCTCATTCACAACCAGGAACTGTCAACCAGAATTGAGGCCTGCCTTTGGCTTATATGGAGGTGTGCCAAGTGGAAGGTGCCACGTGCCAGGTGGAGGGGAGTTTAGGTTGTTGAGATTAAGTATCTTCTTTAAATGGCAGTTAAGAACTGACTTAAAATAAATGCATTCTGATATGTTTTTAACCTTATGGGAGATGTTTTGTGTTGTTTGCAGAAAAGGTAATACTCTGCTGAGAGTAAATTGATTTCTAACCTCTTTTGGGAGGTGCCAAAACCTATTTAATAGGAGGCTTGAGGCCCTTGTAGGTTGTTGGAAGTTGTTGTCACTTTTTGCATTTTTTGTCTTGCACATATTTTTCATTTTTACAAGATAGGCTCCTCTCCTACTTCTGTAGGGAGGAAGTTTTAAAAGTTGGTCACACAATTCCATGTTCTCTGTGTCAGAGACTGGAAAGACTGGGACAAATGGCTGCCAATCATTCTTTTTGTCTACCATGAAGTCCCTCAGGCCTCCACTGGCATTTGAGCTGCTTTATGTCCACCAGGACCTGGGAGGGCCCTCAACAAAAACAAGAAATGAACATTGTTTCATATGTACTGAAAATGAGGGATCAGCTCATGAAATTCACAGGGCTATCCAGAGAGAACCTGCTCCAGTCACAGCCAAAGCATCAGAAATGGTAAGACCAATCAGCGAGACAGCGGACAGCTTTGCAACTGGTGAGAAAAATCTGTTTCTTTTGACTACAAATTGTTGGCAAAGTGGCAGGGCCCATACAAAGTGCAAAACAAGATGGGTCCCGTGACATAACAAATCAACAAGCCTGACCAAAAGCAACCTTTACAGACTTTTAACATCAACATGCTCAAGAAATAGCACCCTCATCCCAGCCCACAACCACCAGCAATCCACGTTCATCAAAGTGGTGAGGGAAGAAGAGGAGCCAGAGGAGCCGTACTTACCTGGATCAGTGGGTGAGCCACATCTGGATCTGAGCCACCTGAAGGAGGAGAAGAGGACGTTCTTTCAGATCCTGCTCTTGCATCTGTTCCTAGAGCTTCCTGGACACTCAAAGATAACCCATCACCACATCACCTTGAAGGATACCAAGCCCATTCGTTAACCTGTCTAGAGGGTCCCTGAACAACTGCTGCCTGTATTAAAGGATGTTCCCTTCCCTTTGTTCTTCATGGTGCCCCTACTATTTTCCAGTGGTCAATGGGCAAGGTCCTGGCAGATGCAGAGCCCTGCTGCAGCCTACCTGGACCATAAAGGGCTGCTTGAAGTCAGGACTCTTCAGAATGGGTACTTTGCAAAGGGAGTCATTCAGGCTCTGGAAGGCCTCCTCACATTTGTCTGTCCACATAACTTTGTTGGGCTCGTCCTTTCTAGAGAAATTTGTGAAGGGTGCTGAGATGGTTGAGAAGCAGGCAATGAAACAACTGTACCAACACAGGCAGCTAATACCTGAAGTTGTTGTGAAGGAGTAACTCAATACAAAGGAGCCACTGAACTCTTGCTCTATGTTCAAAGAGAACATACATTGATTATTGGTTTATCTTAAGATTCTGTTATCATATACATATTACATTGAGAATGTTCTAGCCACTTTCAGGAAAATAATTCCTCAGTAATAGCGAGATAATGATGGAAGGTTATATACAGGGGCAGGGCCTCTAAAGACGATGATGTTGGGTAAAATAAAGATTATTTTTTTGATTAACAGAGCAGTTAAGTTGGCATACATGTGTGAAAATAGAGAAAATTATTGTTATAATTTTCAAGTCCAAATATAAAGTTGTATATCTTAGTATGAGCCTCTTATTGTGGATGTATAATCCTACTACAGTGTTAGCTTCATCCTTTAACAAGGAGGGGGAAGTTTTTCTTTCTCTGTTGGTGTTTTCTTTCTTGTATGCTCGAATTTGATATATATAATCCCTGATGAAAATGTCGGGAGATACATCAGGAGAGTTTTGACTATTTAAATAAATTGATTTACCCATTAGTTTGACCCTAATGTCTATGGAGATAACACATTTTACACCATAGCTTTAGAAAGAGAAGAAGAAAATGTAAAGATTTCATTTTTTTTAAGGAAAATAATACACTGAATTCCAAATTTTCCACAAATTTACCTCATAATATCTGCATAGTAAGGTGTCACTGCTCTTTACTAACATCCATTTTTAAATCCTTCTTTCTAAATAAACTGAGATAACCCTATAAAGACTAAGTGGTTATATTGACTGACTTTTAAAGGACCCATGTACAGAAAGAGCAGACATTATACAGCTCTCCATGAAGCAGATTGTTGACTGTGTTTGTGGAATTTTGCACTGGAACGAGTCTGAACAGACTGTGTTGATTATTGTGTAAATTCAAAAAATGAACTGACTGACACAGGGTAGAAAAACTGCTGCTCCACAGCTGTGTTCTTAAATTTCTCGTCCCTCTGGCCACACCTATTTGGGTGATATCACAGCAGGATGGTTTGCCAGTAACAGCCGCCAGAAAGGCCTGTCTCCACGTATCTAGCTGAGAACAGGTTGAAAACATCAGTTACTGAATCAAGTTGAAAGTTTCAGGTAATAAGAACAGGATGAACTTTGTGGTTTCCTCCAAATTTCCAGTATCGAAAGCTTGAACTGTACAGAAGAAAACGTTTGACAACTTGATAAAAGTCAATTTATTTAGCTGTTTTTCAGGGAGTGGTGGATCAGAAGTTCAGATTTAAAGGACTGAATTAGAGCTGGAAAGGCCTTATTAGTCCGAAAAGGAGGATAATTTAGGTATTTTTTTAGAAATGTGGGCCTACATTCTTAATGGACTGAAGTGCTACTTGTAAACTTTTAAACTTGCTGCTTGCCATCTCCTTCCAAGCAAAGTCTGTCCTTTTAAAATGGATGAAATAAGTCTGATTAAAAGGTTGAAACCACATCTTTATTAACTCAACCTCAATCACATTTAGTTTAGTTTAGCATTTAGTTCTTGATTCTTTACCACTAATAGAGCCAGACCTCTATTCTCTGTTTGCAGTGTTGACATAAAGCAAAGACTAGCTAAAAAAAAAGAAAAGCTTAAACTAATTAACAGGAGAGTAGTTAAAAAATCCTCTCAACCAAATCTAGAAAAAGTTTTTAAGGAACATATTGTTTGAGCTTGTCTTTAACCTGATCTTTGTTGTTTTTGTGTGTTTAGATAAGGGCTGGGTATTTCCCACAACATCATCACGATATAGAGTCGATGCAGAAGCCACAATGCAATACTTATCCGCTCAGGCTGTGCAACAGAATGTCATTGTATACACCTAATGACAATAAACATTATATTATATAACCTTTGCTTTCAGTTTTGCTGAACGTTGATAGAGTTTCTCATCCCTGCTTGTTTGTTTAGAATTGTAACGTGTTGCATCATGTCAGTTGTTTCTACTGCCACCTATTGGCTTTATTGTGAACAACACCAAGGGGATTGTTTCTTTCAAAAATGCTATGCCAGCATTTTCGGCCATATCGATTCTGGAACATCTGCATCGATGCATGTACTTGCAAGGGGTACATGACAATATATTGCAGATTGACGATTTTTTTAATTAAAATATTTTTTTTAACACAGCCCTAGTTTGAAGTGACTAGTTTATAGTTTTTAAGTTTATACTCTGCTCTGTCAGCCATTGCAAATCACTGTTGTGTTTACAATGACTTAATAATAAGTGAAGCCAGAGGAGTAAACCATCCTCTAAGCTAATGATGATGAGTATTGAATAAAGAATACTCAGTTGCTCAGGTACTAATAGTTTTTTGCAGTTGCATTTATTTATTTTAGTTACCCTTTATATAACCAGGAAAACATCACTGGTATTAAAAATCTCTGAGTGTCCATGGCCAATACAGGCAGCAGCACAGTTCAAGTTTCTGGAAAACGATAAGCAGCCAAACAAACAAACATAATACCAGATTTATTAATATACATTAAGATGACATGAATTAACAAATCAGACCAGCAAATATTTGTCAAAAATCATAAATATATCAGGCAGAACATCGACTTCCAGATGTACCTGACTCCAAGACATTTAAGAGTATCCAGTGAGACCAGCTTATTAAGTTCCAGGTCTTTTTATTTTGTTCCAAGTTAAGGGAGCAGCAACCTTTAACACCTTTTTCCCAAACTCAGTTCTGACCTTTGTACAAACATTAAGAAAAGTTCCTGGGACTGAATCCCATTGAATATGTGGCTCGTTCAAAATCCTTGCAAAAATCCTGTATGTTGTTTACCTAAGCTTATGGTATTTTGTAAATTACCACAGGTCTTAGACTGTGTGTCATGGAGATGAGGAACAATCAGCTCTTGTTTTAAATTCTTGTCTTGTTAGATTTTATTGGAGGTTTTTGTCTTCTTTGATTGGACAGCTGTAGAGAAACAGGAGATATGGGGAGAGCAAGTTGTAGATGACGTGCATCAGGATTGAGACTAGAAACCTGCGACGGTTGTGACGAGGGCTGTAGCCCCTGTACATGGGGTGCCTGCTCTACTACCTGGGCTAAACTAGCACTCTGCAATTGATAATTTTTTAAAGCTAAACTAAATTTTCTTTTTCTCAACTTTATCTGCACAGCGTGAATATATTACAAACTGATCGAATCCAAGAACAAATCTATTCATTTTGCGAGATTGAAACTATAATAACGATGCCTGATCTCCCAATCTCCTACACTTATTGAAATACCTAAAGATTGTTAAGGCATGATGAACATGAAATCCAATCACCTCTTATAGCATTCAAATATTGATGATATTCTACTGAACTTCAAAGCAAATTATAAAGACAGAAATTCTACTGAAATAGCGTTTTGTGTTTAAACATCTTTCTCTGGATGTCACAGATCACACAGCTGAAATCTGTACAGTTATAAAAGGTAATTCACTGTTCCCATCACCCCATTAATATATAAAGACCTAACCTCTGACATCCAGCAGGTATTTATTAAAGAATAATTGACAAAGGTGTGCAGCTATTTTTCCTGCCCCTCTCGTAATTTTACTTTCCGTTTCCTCACATTACTTCACAATTTTCATCCTGACCTTTTCTACATCTGCAGACACCGGATGCACATTTCCACCATGTATGAGCACTGCATACGGATGAGACACCTTTCACAGGAGTTCCTGATGCTGCAGATCACGCAGGAGGAGTTTCTCTGCATGAAGGCTTTGCTCCTCTTCAGCATACGTATGTAATCTGTGTGCTCAGCATCGAAACCACTTTTCTTTATCCTAGAAGTGGACATGAACTAATACACAGTTAAGACACCTAAGCATACAGTCAACACTGTTTTCTTCTGATTATTTTTTCCAGTTCCAGTTGAAGGTCTGAAGAGTCAGAAATACTTTGATGAACTGCGTCTAACCTATATCAACGAACTCGATCGGCTCATTAATTGCCGTATGAAAAACAATTCTTCTCAAAGGTTCTACCATCTCACCCGACTCCTGGACTCTCTGCAGATGGTGAGACACACAGCTTCATGTTTACTCACATTATCCTTCACATAAAAGAGAGAAATCGTGGCAGTATCAGATTTGTTCAAGTTTTTTAAAGGTTTTTAAATCAGTCCATGCGCATGCCTTTGATTTAAATAGACAAGCAGAGAAAAAAAAAGTCAAATAACAGAGTAGTAGTTGTACTTTACTTGGTTAAAACATTTCTTGGAAATGCATGCAACGACAGTCCAGGGGGAGGCTGTCTTTTTAAATAGCTCACAGAAAAAAAAATGCAGTCAAAGCAGAAAGTGATACCTTAAAGTCCAACCATAAAATCTAATAACTGTCAGTGCAAAAAATGATGAGTAGTGCAGTACGATTCAGAGCTCTCAGATTTTTAGGCCAAACTATCTTTTTTTTTTTTTTTTTTTTTTTTTTTAGGGAAGAGAATTATTATCCTGAGTCATTGTCAAAACACTGCTCGTAGTTAATTTTCTTTTAATGTTTTATTTGTGTGTTTCTCTTTTGACTGACTTCTACAGACTGTAAAGAAGCTCCATCAGTTTACATTCGACCTCTTTGTCCAGGCTCAGTCACTCCCCACAAAGGTCAGCTTTCCAGAGATGATTGGGGAGATAATCTCAGTCCATGTACCAAAGATCCTGGCAGGTTTGGCCAAACCAATATTGTTTCACAAGTAGAAGGTTTTTGGTTTTTTTTATTGAAAAATGACTCATCTTTGCAGCCTCCATAGACTTCGACGAAGGTTCTGTTTCCCTACATCTTCAGTCTAATGGCTCTTAACCCTGTGCTGCAATCTTTTTTATTTTCCTTTTATCCATAATTGAGATAGTTTGTTCATAACTGTTAAAGCTTTTATCTGAAGCGGTGCAAGGCATCTGTTGACAGCACTGCTATTTCTGAGTGGAGAGTTTGTGTTTTTAGCTGGAGCAGACATGCTACTTTACATAAAGTCTTTAAATCATGGGAACAGTGAGCTAAAAGTGGCAGGGTTAAAGCATAAATTTTCCTTTGACCTTTGTTACTCAAACATTTGGCACTTTCTCATAAAAACTAACAAAGACAGCCTAAAGAGAATACTGGATCACAGAAAGAAACAAACACTTGTTATCCATTACCTTAGCAAAAAAGAAAAGTTTCAAGTGCTGCATTCAGGTACATCTGACAGGTTCATTTTTGTGAAACGCAACTTGTAGGTTCAGCTTTGAAGGACATTTAAGTGCATCAGTGCCTTAATATCAGGATTATTAATCTAAAGAGTGTTTTAAAATGATTCAGAATTAACATTTACCATAATTCTTATCAAACCAAAATGAAAAATCCTGACCTGATAGTGTGTCTCTATTCTGCATATAATTGCTTTGACAATCAGCATGGATATGGAAGTAAAGTTTTCAATGTACTTGTAAGATAGAAACTTGATGTGCTACATTTGTGGTCAGTAAACTTGTAAGATTTGTCTGAGGAAAAATAGATTTTTCTCGCTGTGTGAATGTGAAATTGGATTTATTTTGGTGGTGCCTCACAAAATAAGATTACAATCATAAAGCAAGTTGAGCGCTAGTAATTGAAATCAAAATAGAACAATCATGGCCTATGAGAAGTGGAGATAGCCACCCTAAGAGCACCCACCAGTTTATGCCTACTTAGGCCTATTTGACATAAACAGAACATATTCTGTTTGATCTTCTCTTTCATTCCGACTGGGATGATTCAGTGAACATGAAGGTGTAATGGAGAAAACATGAAACTATGGGGACTGATATATAGATTAACATTTAATCATATAAAAAAATGTTACTTGGGTAATAAACCAATGAGGGTAATTCCCTCATAGACCTCCTCAATCTGACTTCTTTTTATAGATAGTTAAAGCCCCCCTTAAAAAGAATGCAGAATCAAGTCACTTCCACATTTGCTTCACTTTTTAGACCTATGCTAGGCTATGTCAACTGCAGCTACAGAGTTTATACTAATTCATTATTACTATTGCTTAGGGTCTTTCATGGCTCTTAACAACTAGTGTCAGAGAAAAATCCTTCCCAGTTGCATTTGATGCGAAATTCCTCCTAAATTCAATTATTTAGAACCATGATCATTAAAGATTGCCTTGTCCTCGAGGAGGACTAGATTAAAAGTCGTGTCAGGTCATGATTGAAAGCAAAGTGTTGTGTGTGTAACTGCAACAAAACCAAAACTTCACATTCTCTATTTTAAAAACAAAAAGATATTTAACCTGGTTTGCTCTCATCTACTTGCTCTCTGTAATCAAATAACTTTCATGATCAAATTTAAATTTCCTATTCAATACAGGACAGTACAGAATCTAAGCGTTTAATAATCATGGAAGAAACTGTGATTTATTAAAACTTTTTTTTAAGCTTCAATGCTATCCACAGATTTCATATCAGAGCAAAAGTCTTCTTTGAAGTGCTTTAACATTTACCCATGTACAGTGTATACTGCGTTTGTTTGAGCCAATGCAGACTGCTCCAGATCATGCCTGCTTTATTGATGCTCTGCAATTAACTCTCCTCATCGCACCAGCAACAAACTTGTAAAGCTATTGTCTTGATGTTACTAATTTAAAAGCATGAAGTGATAAATATGAAGAGGGTGAACTTGTTATAGCAGGTACGTAGCATGAATTAAGTTAGAAAAGATTTGGAATTTTTGGAAACTTTATTTTCTTGACTGCATGGTTTCAAAATTATTAATAATGCCACATAAAGTTGATGAGAAAATTTAAAAATGATGATCCAACTATGAAGAGAGTCACATGAACATGCCTTTTGTTTGGATGCCAATCTTTTTTTTTGGCACAACAGAGATCCAGAGATAACTCCTTTATGTCAGCATTCCTTTCATATTGCTCATAATCATTCAAAGGGCAAAAGTGGCATGAAGTGTTCAACCCATCATTCGTACTACACTTGTGCATACACAGCCCTGTCCTGTCCTGGCTTGTCATACCTGTTCCATAAAAATCAACAATGCGTAGCATTCGCCCAGAATATTAAAAAAAACTCTGGATTTTATCTTCATAAAGTTTCGATTCTGGCTTTACATGATCCTAGCATGTACTATAAAACATGTAAAGGTAAATCTAAATATGACGTGCAGACTTGCAGCAAAGGATCTCAAGGCATTGATTGGTGTATACAGTGTGTTACCACCGCACTCGCTGTGTAACATGGAGTTGGCAGGGTCAGGCTGTGAGCAGCAGTTACAGCAGCAGGAAAGGATGGCATCAAACTCTGCCAAAGAATAAGAATAAGAAACCTACAGCCATCTGAAACCTGGGAGGGCTTCACATGTGAAAGTCCTTGACTTGTCCTGCCAGACCTCAGAGTTGAACCCCTCCAAAAAAAAAAAGAAATGTGGGGAATGCCTTGAAGATAACTGAACACAGACACTGCTGTAAAACAGTAGAAGACTACTGATACAGTGGGTTGTACACAGTTATGAGTTTTTGAAATTTCTTTCCAAAACATAAACTGAGTTGGTGAAACATGAGGCCCTTTGTACATACAGCTTCGTCTACATGAAGACGACTTTAAATAAGACTGACCCAAGAGTAAAGACCGATATGACCACAATCCAACACAGACAAAACTTTAATCCAACTTCTGCGATCAGCACTGTAATCATTTTCAACTCTGTTTTCTAACTGTAAATTCTAGACGTTATAACTTCACATTTATTTTACAAGCAAGTAGATGCATGCACCATGTGTTCGTATAACTGTGTGTAGTTTGCAACTATTTGTGAATGCGCTTTACAGAAAGCAATGCATGGACAATCACATGTCTCTCTGAATGTTTATTATATGCCTGAAGGCATGAAAACATTTTCTTGGTGGGACAAGCTGACTATGAATGTCATTTTTTGAGGAACTAATTCATTGATGATGTCAGTGAAGCATTTAGAGTAAAACATCATCGGCATAAATTAATGTCTTTGTCTTTTTATACAATATTTGCTGTGTGGGAACAAAAGAACAAAATGGGGAGAATAGTATTTATAGAGAGGTACAGGTGCTCTATTAGACTTGACCAAACTAAAACAGCTGATCACAGCTTTTAAATCAGCGCGTTAATAAACCTTGAAGGCAGACGTTCAGTGAAGAGTTTAGACTACACAGCCATCTAAGTATTAGGCCATTTCTGAAGAACCAAAGTTTAAATTTCAACTCCTGAAATAATATTTATCAAGCCCTCTCACATGCACAATTTTGAAACGCTATTGTTAAACATTGTATTACTCCTCATCCTTGAACCGAATACTTGTTCTAAAAAATGTTGTAATGTTTTAATGCTGTTTTAGTTTTATTATGTATTACACACAGAGGCATTACCAGTGCCAGCGGATTGCTCACCAAAGTAAGCCACAAAGATGCCCCTGCACATTTTGAATACTGATGTGATTTTCTCACAGCAGGCTATGTTTTTATGTCACTTGACAATAGCTGGTATGTGCCCATTGTGCTGCATATGTAACATTGTCTTACATGCTACTTTAAATGTATATATCGATGGTTTAATGTCTGTTCAGGTGTACAAACACTTGACTTGAAAGTTGTCTCTTGTGTGATTTTTACCTTTTGTGACCTTTGTTTTTCAATATATGTGTTTTTCAAAAGGTGTAAAGCTGCAGCATCTTTTAAAGCAATTAAAACAATTTGGACTCTGAAAATTTGGTTTTTCATGATTATATTTTGCATAATCTGGATGAAAGCTGGCTGAAGAGAGAAATTGAACATTACTGACATGTTAAATGTACACCTTAGTTAGAAGTAGCAATATGTCAAATAAATAAGCAGTAAGCTTAAAACTAAACTTAACCAAAAAATGACTGAGCTTTATAAGTAAGTATCATCATGTGAATCCAAAGTAGAGCAGACATGGAATAAGTTAGCACTAAACATGTTTAATTCAGCTTAGACATCCAGTAAACAGAGTGCTTGCTTCAGTGAGAACACACACTCTTTTGTTCTTGTGTGTGACCGCTCTCTGACGATCTAACTTTTGACCGTGAATTAATTTTCTGACGCTCAAGGTCATATGAATTGGCAAGTAAAAGGCAAGGGAATTTCCACCAGCTACTGATGTGCAGCCAACATTCACCAAGTCACCAAGTCCCCTACTGAGACTGGTACAGTAGTTGATAGAAATCTTGGTACAAGTTGGTTGAATTTGAGTGTGGAATAAGAACGCGACTGGCAGTGAAGGCTGGAATGTGATTGGAGGAATGGATGGCAAAATAAATACAATGTCTGAATACAATAAGGTTTTTTAAACAGATAAACGTTTGCTGAACTTTACCAAACTAATCATCAAAATGACTGCGTTTCTAATTAAGTTAAACATCGTCACTGTGTTACTTCACATAAACAATATGTTAATCCTAATATAATCGTGTTTAAAAGTGCCAAACCTCATGGAGACACATGATATACTATGCTCCTTGGCAGCATGGTTCAGTTTTGGAAAAAATCATGGTAATAGTCAGATGGCTTCATGAGGTTTGTTACAGAATGCAACACCACAGGGGATGGACTGGAAGGAGCCTGGGCAGGACAAGAAATTTAAAAATGTGACGTTTAGTTTGTTTGTGTGGTATTAGCCATGGTAACGGCATGGCCCTGGGGTTGGTTTATCATTGGGTTAAACAACAGACATATCACAAATATCTTCTTTTTATTTTTATTTATATATTTGTTAATTATTTTGCTTCCTTTGAGTAAAGCAGGCGGACTTTGGTGATCCCAACTTATCTTGTGGCGCCATTACAATGACAGTTGTGGCTTTAACTTCTATTGGATTGGTCCCCACAGAAATTGTAAAACAAATCCGTATTTCTCTCAGGGTAACTTTTGGGATTCCCTGACATTATATCTGGTACCTTCATACTTTTAAAAATTCAAAATACGTCCAAAAGGCTTACATCTAATCTACTTTAATTGAGCACTGCTACTGCAAACCCCCTTTTATACTCAACCGTAGCTTACAAATCCTCTACAGGAAGCATGTTCCTGTAGAGGAACACACACACTTAACACACCTCAGCCTCACGTAACCTCTCAAGTGTTTTGAACTTAATGACAAAAAATAATCAAACTAGGACATATATCAAAATAAAGCTCCTATAAGGACCATTGAGAGCATCCATTTTGTATGACCCCTGTGGACAAAGTATCTCTTCACTGATGTTGTCTAGTACATGCATAAGTAAAGTGTTTTTAACAAGAATAACTCACCCTTGCTTACTTTTAACACTCGGATGTATCACTCACTGTGAATATACTCGCTGCTCTAACACCTACTCTACAGCAACAACTGGATGATTAAAAAAAATATATAAGAAGTTTAAACTTTCAGAGCACAACACATCCATAAATTGAGCTATTTTGAATTGTTTTGATCTTAATGCTATGCGTTAAAATGGTCAACAATTAAGCCTTTACTTAAAATAGTAATAGATTCCAAGATTACTTATTGTTATTCCATTGATTTCCATTAATAATAACAAACATGTTTAGGTAAATGTAAAGCCAGTGGTCTGAAACATCAATGAAACATTGTGGTACCTCGAATAAGGCCAAACAGGTCTTAAAGTAAGACCAAAAGTAAGCTTTAATGTAACACTTCCAACTTATGTTCCACTTTCAGTTTCTACAAAATATATAAACTTGAATTCCCACTGAAGAAAGAAATAAGCTACTAAAATTGCAGCAGTGACATCTTTACAAATGTTGTCCTTTATACCGAAAGATGACAATTTACTTTGCAGACTTTTTAACATCACATAAAAACATGTTTACTGCTTTGCAATTACCTCAAAAGCAACACAAAAGAGCATTCATTCAGTGGATACTGTTATGATAATGCATTAAGAGGATTCACTTCAGTGTCTTTAGCGATAGGTGTGGTTGGTAGGAGGAGAAGCAGGGTCAGTACTGGTGGCACACCTGAGGGGGGTGTGGTGGCTCTATCTCTGTAATCTTCATTAGCAGCACCTGCAGCATCTGAGGGAACTAAACTGATATGAAAGAGAGGGCTGGCGGAGGAGATCATACCCAAGTGGATCGGGCTGTCCGAGTGAGCTGGTCGCGGCACATATGAGGATCTTGGCGGTGAGTCACCTACACGCACCCCTCAAACAGACAGGACAGTTGCACACACATTCAGGTAAGGCAGGATATACCTTCACGTTTACGCAACACGTAAGGAGAGGCATTTGGATCTCAAAGATCCTGGAGAAAGTGGTAGCTAATCAGCTGTGTGACTTTCTCCATGACAACAGTTTATTTGAGGAGTTTCAGTCAGGATTTAGAGTCCACCATAGCACTGAGACTGTACTAGTTAAAGTTACAAACAATCTACTTCTAGCTTCAGACAGGGGACTTCTCTCTGTGCTTGTCTTGTTTGATCTTAGTGCTGCTTTTGACACCATTGACCATCAAATCCTATTATACAGACTAGAACATTTACTTGGAATTACAGGGACTGCTTTAAGTTGGTTTAAATCCTACTTATCAGACCAATCTCATTTTGTACATGTTAATGATAAGTCCTCTATGCACACCAAAGTTAGCCATGGAGTACCACAAGGTTCAGTGCTTGGACCAATTCTCTTTACATTATATATGCTACCTCTGGGAAATATTATGAGGAAACACTCCATACAGTTTCATTGTTATGCAGATGATACTCAGCTTTATGTATCAATGAAGCCCGATGGCACCAGTCAGTTATGTCAGCTAGAAACGTGCCTTAAGGACGTTAGGACCTTGATGACCTCACATCAGGCAAATTTCAAGAACAGCCTTTTTTCACCTTCGTAATATATCCAAGATCAGGAATATCCTGTCGCAAAATGATGCAGAAAAACTAGTTCATGCATTTTTTACCTCCAGATTGGATTATTGTAATTCTCTTTTGTCAGGGTGCTCTGGTAAGTCTCTAAAGACTCTTCAACTGGTCCAGAACGCTGCAGCTCGTGTACTGACCAGAACCAGGAAATGGGACCACATCACTCCTGTCCTGGCTTCTCTGCACTATACAGTCTAGAATAGAATTCAAGATCCTTCTTCTCACTACAAAGCTCTAAATGGCCAGGCACCATCTTATCTTAAGGAGCTACTAGTGCTGTACTGCCCCTCGAGAACATTACGATCCCAGAATGCAGGCCTACTAGTGGTACCTACAGTCTCTAAATGTACTATGGGAGGTAAAGTCTTCATTTTTCGGGCTCCTCTCCTCTCGAATCGCCTTCCAGCCGGGGTTAGTTAGTTATGCTGCTATAGGCTTAGACTACCAGGGGAACTGGCACCTTGAGCTCCTCTTTCTCTCTGTCTGTGCATATACAGTACATCATATTACTGCATGTATCTATCTGTAAATCTCAGTCACTAACCACCTACTGTCCTGAGAGCTAGCTCTCTTAGGCTCCTCAAGATCGTTGGTTGATGGCCTGCCAGAACAATCCCCCCCCCCCCCTCCCCACCGGATCGTTGATGGACGGCTTGCCTCCCCACACCTCCTTGCTCCCTATCCCTCTTCCTGCATCTTATCCCATCTCTCCCCCTATCCCTTTTCAAGCCCAGCGCAGTCTAGGTTTGTGAAGGCTGTTTCGTCATGAGCCAGGGATCCGGCCGAAGATTTCTGCCTTTTAATAAGGCAGGTTTTTCTTACCAACTTCTTACTGTAACTTTTGCTGCTTTGCTAAAGTGCTCATGATGGATAGGCCGGATCTTTGTAACATAGCAATAAGGTCATTTACCTGCTTTTTGTAACATAACAATGAGTAAGGTATTTTACCTGCTTTTTGTAAAGAGTCTCGAGATAACACTTGTTATGAGTTGACGCTATACAAATAAAAATTGATTGATTGATTGATTAAGTTACGGGCTCACTGGCCTTAGCGTCAGGCGCAAGGATAGCATTTAGCAGTGGGTTTGTGTAGCGGCGTAACAATGCATAAAAACAAAAGTCATTTGAATGTTTAAAACAGTCTCTTTAAAAAATAAATACATGATTCAAATGATGAAACCTCAAGGTTTATTTTCTCTTTTCGCAAACAAATCCAAGCATAAAACATCAAGAAAATGGGTTACCAGAAAAATAAAACAAGTGTAACATTTACATAAAGATCAATTAGATTTAAAAACAAAGACATAACAAATCTGGAGTGTTATTTTCAAACATTGTAACAATTACTTTTGCTCTGTAATCCCAGCAATTCATCAATACTTTCAAGACCAACCTGTATGACCCAACCAACCAACAAAAGGTAAAAACAAATTGACCGACAAGGCTGGAAATATGGGAATGTAGTGAATCTCTTTCTCATTAATACAAATGAACTATAAAATTAGCAATGGCATTATTAATATTACTATTAAATGGATTCAAATACATTGACTGGTTGATACTTGGAGGTAAAATACTTTTTTTTGTAATGCCTCTTAAAAAGGGACGGTATGATTGAATCACACTTTAGGTCTCATTGAATCTCACATTCATGGTTCAACTCTTTATCGACATATTCTTCATGACAAACAAGATCGTTTCCATGTACCGGTAGTTAGATCCAGTTCGATGGCAGATCAGTACTCGGTGCATTTTGATACTTAGTCTAATGTAAAACATATTCAGATTTATAATGATCAAATAATAATGATAAAATTAGTGTTGTATGGTAGATCTATTTAATAATGCTAAATAAGAGCATTAGGTGGGCACACAGTAACTAAGATACTTTTTAAAACTGATGATTTAAATAAGCAGGGAAACAGTTCTTTTCTCCATCCTTACTTTGTAGTAAGGATCAAAAATAAAGTAATTGCTTTGAGACGTCATTCAGAAGTCGATTTGCTGTTGTGCTGACATCGAACAACAGTTTTAGAATCAGATGGGACCAAATACATCCATTGACTTCTATGGAGCATCTCTTCAGTCCATCTGATTTATTTATTCACTGGTTTGCAGTGACTCCCTCTCACTTGATGCACACTCTTGAGTCACTTGCGGCAGTCACAACGGATGTAGCCTCCGTAAACTTCAATTCTGAACAAATAAAAACAGAGAAATATTAGAGCACCATAAATTAAAACTTTTTTCAGTCTATTAAACTCATACAACAGATATAATAGCTAGAAGAATTGGACATTATTGCAAAAGAGTAAATACAGTAAATCCCACCTCTTTTCTCGCTGTTGATGGCGGCGGAGAGGCTGGTGGACTAAATTTGGAGAGAAAAAACAAATAAATTACATCCGTTTGTGGTTTGAAGCTTAAGGCCACCACTGATCTGCCTTAAGTCACCACCACAGTTGTTGTTAAAAGCTGAAGGAGTCTTGAAAATGGGTTTTAATTAAATAATGTTGGTAGTATGCATTATACACTCATCGGCCACTTTATAAAGGTACACATTGCTAGTACCGGGTTGGATCCCATTTTTCCTTCAGAACTGACTTACTTCTTCTTGGTGCTGGAAACATTTCTTTAGAGATTTTGGTCAATATTGACATAACAGCTTCACACAGTTGCTGCAGATTTGTCGGCTGCACATCCATGATATGAATCTCCCATTCCACCACACCCCAATTTTGTATTGAGATCTGGTGACTGTGGAGGCCATTTGAGTACAGTGAACTCATTGTCATGTTCAAGAAACCAGTTTGAGATGGTATGAGCTTTGTGACATGGTGCGTTTCCTGCTGGAAGTTGCCATAAGAAGATGGGTACACTGTGATCATAAAAGGTTGGACATGATCAGCAACAATGCGCAGGTAGACTGTGGCGTTTAAATGATGCTCAATTAGTACACAGGTACCTCAGTTGTAACCTGTGGTTATTTAAATTACTGTGGCCTTTCTATCAGCTCAAACCAGTCTGGCCATACTCGTCTGACCTCTGGCATCAACAAGGCATTAACGCCCAGAGAATTGCTTGCTCACTGGATATTTGCTCTTTTTCGGATCATTATCTGTAAACCCTTCAGATGGTTGTGCGTGAAAATCCTAGTAGGTTTGCAGTTGTTGAAATACTCAGACCAGTCCGTCTGGAACCAACAACCATGCCACGTTCAAAGTCACTTAAATCAACTTTTTTTCCCCATTCTGGTGCTCGGTTTGCACTTCATGTCTACATGCATGAATGCATTGAGTTGTTGCCTAGTGATAGGCTGATTAGTTATTTGCAGTAACAAGAAGTTGAACAGATGTACCTATTAAAGTGGCCAGTGAGTGTATATCAAATGTTAGCAACTCCAACAGCAAAGAGGTCAGCCTTTGCAATGAGCCTGGGCTCATTAGGCAATAAGACATAGAAATAAAAATGATAATTAATTGTGTGTCACTGCTAACCTGTTATTATCTTTTGGGATCTTAAAACTAACTATTTGATCCAAATATATTGACCATGTTTAGATTATATAGTGTTTGAAATAGTCTGCTGAGAAGATTCAAATTCTTCCAATGTGGGAGAACAACCACTATCTGTTTCCTCTGCCCAAAGGCCAAACAAGAGCTTTGTGCGTATACACCTCCCTGTTAGACACATTAATGTGGCCTGTAACAATGATGGAGGAGACTACAATAAATAGAGAGATAAACTCTCTTTGATAAAACGAAACTCCCACAAACGCTCCCACTCAGGCATTTTTCATTTACAGCACTCATCAGTGCCTGAGCAGGGGAGGCCTGCAAGGCTTCAACTTGGACTATCAGAGCAAAACATAAAAGAGCAGATGTGTGAGTCCACCTTGACAATTACGTCATCAATGGGGGGAGTTGTACAAGAACAACAACCAGAGAGAGCTCATGTGAACTGAAAAAGTAACAGTAACAACAATAATTTAATGACTTAAAAATTAAAGTAATGTAATAAATGCAACTCTACCTAATTATTCGTTCCCCCTTGTTGTGGTTTTATTTACCTTCACCTACTGTTGAGTGAAAAATGAAACAAAAGGCCTTTACATACCTGCCAACTTGTCTGGAGGCATTCTCAAAAAATTTGGTTTTGGAGGCAACACTGCAGAGAAAAAAGAAAGCAGACTTGTTTGTATTGTAGATTAAATGTATGACTCATCCTCTATTTGAGATTCTTCATTTAATCGTTTTTGACCAGTGAGAACATGTCATTTGGTAGATTGGGCTTTTTCAACCCTCACTCTTTACATATAAAAAAAAAATTTATCTACCAAATTTGTGTTTGGTAGATTATTTATTTGTTGTAACAATGCTTCTTGGCAATAAATCTTATACCATTGTCAAGCCTGTCCATTCCTCTTTTAAATGGTGCCACATTTGTAAGGAGCATTTATTTGTGGTTATAAGCAGCAGAACTGAGCATGTGGGTTGCGCCCATGATAAACTTGCCAAATCTTCTCTGCTAAAAATATTTCACCAAAAAGCATCATTATGAAACACTGAATGTCTAATTTCAATCAGTTGTCGGGATCTTTTTGTTTGTGAGGATTTTGGCGTCCCCTGTGGACTAAGTATGTAGTGTGATGTCCCCTTTAAAGCACTGGTAATCTGGGTTTAATAATCCTTGAAAGTCTGTACCTGGATCAGAGTGATCCTATCCAGTTTTTATTTGAACTATTTGGATAGAAGTGAACTGGATTACATGATCTTTAGTGGAAAAAAAGTGGATTACCAAATCTGGATCATTTTTATCAGGATTAAACTGTTTGAACAACCGGGCCCAGGAAAGACATCAATATTTTAAGCACTAATCCAATTTGCCAATATGCCCCTAATTTGGTTACTACATGAGATTTCTGTTTACAACAGTGACCCATTACCACAACCAGCAGATACATAGTAAATAGTACGCACTCCCATAGCTTCCCTTTTTTTTAAGATTCCAACACCTCCTGAGGAAAACACCTGGCTTTGTTGTTAGAAACTATGTTCAGCTGCTTTTTGTCAAGTTGACTAACATTGTAAAGTGTTTCTTTATTTCTACATTACAACTTTAATAAACTGCCTATTACATCTCTTAAATGATGTTGAGGAGTGGGTGCTTCAACAGTAAAGTTGTGGTTAGTAAATACCAAAACAATTAGCAGAAAGATACTAAAGTGTTCAGAGACTAAAAAGCTGAGACAAACTGCAAGTATAATTCTGTAAGGAATTACAACTACTGTCTACTAGAAGTCCATGATTAACAGGATAATAATTGCTATAGTGATACCATCACCAAATAATCCTCGCACTGTGTGCTCTTTATTTCAGTATTTATCACAGTAATCCCAATGGCAGAGTAGATATGACAGCCTGATAACACTGACACGATAGGGAGTATCTGAGGCTTCACTGCGCTCACATCAAAGTGTGACACTGATGTCATTGTGTTGCAATAGAAGATGTGATTCAGCACACCAGACAACATGTTCATTCTTTGATAACTGATTCCTAAAGCCTTCAGGGTTTTGATGCAGACTATTTCATTTCCACGTCTGGCATGATTTTAGGTTTGCTTCCTTTAAATAGTTTTTGGTGGTTTGCTCGTACTAAAAAAGCAGAGACAGTTGTTAAATGATTATCGGGTCTACATTTGCATACTTTATAGGATCCATAAAAATGTCATAGAGCCCTTACTAGGATGTGTTTGTGCCCTCACTGCTGGCTGCACTTGGGGGCTTCTGTGGAGCAGGGTATCGGGAGGGGGGCTCAGGAGGCCTCACTGGGGGTCTACATATTGCATGTTTCTCTGAGGACCTTGTTCTGGTCAAGCCTTCAGAGTCACCTGTAAAACAAAACAATATAAAGCTTCATGTTACATAGAGCATGAGCAATTAGGGACTTGTAAATAACAAAAATAAATATTAAAGGGCAAACAAATCAATTATAAACCGTTCAAACCAGCAACCAACTTTTTGTTTACAGCAAGAGTGTTTTCTTAATCATTGAGTAGAAATGCTTCAGATGATTTTGCACTGATTTCCAATTTCCTCAAAACACAAATGAACAAGCTAAAACCAGACTTCTAGATTTGAAAAATGGAGAAAACCCAACTGCATATAACCAAAAGCTAACCAATTTCAAAGAAGCAGCAACTGGACATGTGGTAGCCCATGTCAGAACAATGGCGCTGTTGTGACAAGTGACATCTCTATAGTCTCTCTTGCTCTAAAAATCAATGGGAAAAAACAACAGATGAGCAGAATGAATTGAAGGACTAAATGTCCCTACAGGAATTGATCAAGGTGAAAACTAGTGGATGAAATGTTCACAAGCTGGCTTACAATGTTCAGTGTTCTTTTTCCAGGACATTTCTCAAATATTCACAGAATGCAAACAAATGCTTTTTGACATGACACTACAGTCTTTACCCGTATAAGTCCTAGACAACCTCGAAGATGTAATTTTTTACCAACACTACTACTAAGTACATGCGGATAAAAAAAAAGAGTGGGTCAAACCTTCTCTGTTGGCTGGTGTAGTTTTAGGAGGAGGTTTCCGGCCCTGAAAGGACGGCACTCTGCTGACATAAACTCCAGACTCCCCGTTTGCAGCTGTAGAAGAAGTATCTGGCCTTTGCCTCGCATTGTCTGTCTTGCCAAGGTCGGAGTCTGGTTGTCTGTCCTTACGGCTAGCTGTTCTGGGCAATAACGCTTGTCTTGGAGGAGGTTCTCTTGGAACGAGCGGAGCACTGCTTACAGGTTTTGTCCGCTGTAGGGGAACTGGACATGCTGAGATGTCCCCGTCCAAGACAGGGCTGTTGTTCTGTCCATCTGTTACAAGAAACAACACAATGATTCATGTGGACCCGACTACTTAGAGAGGAATTAGTGTGATGTTAAGTGACCCAGGCCAGGGTCAAAAGTCAATTAAATAAAAAATAAAACACTTTGATAGGAAATAAAACAGGTAAAGGAAAAAAAACTAACAAAATTGAAGTAAAAGTTATTTAAATGGAAGCTACAGCTACCCACACTGCTCTTTGTTGGGTAAAGTATGCAAACAGGACCTGCTCATACATTCATAACACGTTACAAAGTTTGGTTGAATCCTACAGAGACAGTTATAAAGGTAAACCAAGTATAACATTAAGAATAATTAAACATCACAGAACAAAGGGAGCACAAGCAGCAGGTGCTCCAAAACTTATCTTTCCGAGTGTGACAGGATGAAGACAAACCCACATAATGAAGGGCTTTAGCAGACAAATGAAAGAAAATTATATGATTTAGCTAAGGCGTTGACAAAAAAGACTAATGTGAGATAAAAAATGTAGAGTAGAAAAGTTTATTTGTACTTGAAATATAAAAGCACTAGAAGAATTTCCTTTTAAACAATAATTCAAGACAATGAATAGATTTTGATTTGTTATTCTTACACAAACAAATGATTTCGAAGAATGATACTCTAGAAAAAGATTTGATTGACACACACACGACAGTAAAACACATTTCTCTGTACTCCAGAAAATGTTAAGAAACGATCCTGCAGGTGTGTTTTGGTACAAATCTCTCCGAAATATAAAAATGAAAAAAATGAAAAAAAAAGAGACAACTGTTCATTTAGCACAGACAGGATGGGATAATGATGAGGATGATGATGACAGTCGGGCCAAAGGAGGCTAATAATTACTCTCTGTGTGCTGGAGGTGGTGACTAAGCGCTTGATAAACACGAGGTGGCCGCTTGGAGATTGTGATGGGCTGCCGCTTTCTCGGGGTGATCCGCGGGGGAGGGACGGGCGGGGCGGTGCTGTCCTCTGGAACATTACTGAAGATCTGTGATGAAAATAAAAGGTACAGTTACACTGGTTAATTTACTATTTCAGCTATAGACAGGCTGTAATATTACTAAATGAATGAGATGACATAAACTAATACACACGTATCTTTTTACAGAACAATGTTAAAAAAACAAAAACAGATTTAGTGACTTCATTTCTACAATGGCAAAAAAATGCTGGCGCAGTACAAAATTAAATGAAGAAACATTCAAGTCTAAATGTTAAAGAAATGGAGGTGTGCTTGTATTCTTTGTCTTTCTGAGATAACAATGAGAAGATTGACATCTATCTTACAAAGAATGAAGCAACAGCTAACAGCAGGCTAGCTTAGCACAAAGACTGGAAACAGCTATTCTGGTTAATGCAAAAGGTATTGTTGTCTCGGATGTTTAATATTGATGTTTAAAAAAACATTGATTCACCATTTTATTGGGGGTGATGTTTTTGAATATTTTTTGATCAGGTCATAAAGAATTCATGGTGCCAGGCAGCTGGCCAGACCCAAATAATACCTTGTTTACAACTCTCTACGGCCATTTTTCTACTTAAAGACAAAACATTTTAATCAATGAGCTTCAGAGATGTTGGAAGGTTAATGCTATAACAGTAGCATTATTTGGACAGGCTGTTTTTTACATTATCAGACTTTACTCTAAGTAGCTAACTAACTACGGTAGTACTGGTATTAACTTCATCTCTTGCATGAGTCAGCACATTTTGCTAAAATGTTCCTTTAAGTACAACGAAATGCAATCTTAGGATAGGCTTTTTCATTCTTGCCTGAGTCCAGACACGCTGTGTTTCATGAAGAAGTACCTTTTTGTAGTCTTCAATCAGGATCTCAACGACAATATTTTGGAACTTGATATCCAACATGGCCGCCACAGTCTCCTCCTTTGCTCTCATTAGTGTGGGTCCAAAGATCACAGCCATGTTTGAAGGAATCATCAGGTTTTCTTCACTGTGACTACACACACTGTCAAAAAAAAAACATAGGTTGGGTTAAAAAAAAAAATGTAATAACACTGTTGGCAGAATAATTGAACTGATGTCAGTGGGAGAGCACACAATCCTGAGGGATCAGTTAAAACTTTCAATCACAAAAAAAGCATTCTGCCACTTACTTGACCAAGTGTTTAATGAGCATCTCTAACATCTCCCGATTCTTCTCCGGTAGTTTGTAGGTTAGAATATGAATTTCACTCAGCCGAAAGTCCAGATTGTCCGACTCTGTGACACAGAGACAACACAGGGTCACCTAAACTCATTATTTTAAAGTAAGGCCCATCTGAATCTGAACCATTAATATATAATATTCCCAAATATCTCTTTCCTTGATTTTGGTTTAGGTTTTAAAAATGCTTAATCTTAATGTAAAGTAAAGTAGAGTAGGGCACTTGTAAAAACTCTATGTAAGAAGAAGCCCCCATTCATTTCCTGAAAGACATTTCCAGGAAACTGAAGCCTTCAGATGTCTAAGTGTAAGACCCTGAAAGAATGAGGCTGCTGATTTTAAAGTCAAGGTCTTCTCTGTTTTACGATCACGCTATGTGACTGACAAAAACAAACAGGAGACTCAGGTTTCTATAAGTGTCTCCCAGATTGACCAAGTGTAGCTTGTAAAACTGCTGACCCTGCAGTCTGCACAGTATTGACGTACAAATGCCTGTTTTGTATCCCGCGCCCAGATTACTAGAGCCTTGACTTTGTAAGTTGTACGAGTCAACAGTCAGTTAAGCTCAGAGAAATACATGAATGAAATCTTTCTTTTAAAGCAAGGAAACACTAATGGTATATTAGATGAGCTTTTAAGTGTATATATGTTTTTTTTAATGTGACAAGAAAGGTTGTTGTTAAATGATACAACATAAACATATATGCTTGGATAATGCTTGAAAACTGGGGGCAGTTTAGACAAAAGAGAAACATAAGATGTCTAAACATTTGTTTAAAGGAAATGTGTCATGCTTTTAGACTTTGAAGGAACCCCTAATTAACAGACATAGCTTCCTGGTAGGCTAAAATCTGTAAGTAGAGTTTAAAAGTGGGACAAAAGATCATGACAAGACACACAATACTCCCTCGACTGGATAATCTCGACTCACTTGCAGCACACATGAGGTCTCTGTGTAGACCGTAGGTCATCAAAGGTTCGGACAAGCTCCTACAGATAAATACAGACTCTCATAAAAGAGTTCAACAGCAGTTCATCTTAATTCACCACGTCAAACACAGGAAAAAACAAAAAGCAGCCTCCCTTGTTGTACAGTAACACCTGAAAGCACTCAGAACAAATCCTCCATCAAGGCTGCATTTGTTTGCTGAATAACAACAAATCATTGAAATCTGCATCCAGATCTACACATACACATGATAAACCATCAACATGTATTTTGGGATGGGGCTTTTACATTAAGAGTTGTGCAAAATATCAAATGACACAGACTGGCAACCATCTGAAATGTTCTCATAAACAGAATATAAACAATAAAATGCATAACTGTAAAAATGTAAAATATTATACTTCTTATACATATTAATCATACTTGGCTCTTAAGTTAGGAACATGCATTTCAATCTGATGTTAGTGCTGATGTGTTTATATTATAGACAAAAAAACGTACCTCAGATAAAACTTAAGAGCACTTGTGATGGTTTTAATGTCACAGTCACTGCTTTGCAGATCCACGTCTCCTGGGTTTGTAGGGTCTAAAAACAGAGATATTCACAACAAACAGGCAGAAATATTTAATGCCATGTTGTCCAATTCCTTGTTAAAAAAATATCCCGGTGTAATCCTACAGCTGTGTCAGTTATACTTAGTTATGAGCAATATAGGGCCTCTCTTTTTTTTTTTTTATTTAGTTAAAAAAAAGGTTTCTAAATGATGACAGACATTTTGACATGTCTGACGTCATGACAGAAAAGCAAAGGTGTAAATAATGAAATAAAAGCCTTTATTCTGCATAACTAAATCAGTTTCACGTATTATATTAATAGTTGCTGACTTGTATCTGTCATGGCTTATTTGGATGGTTGAACAATGCAAAGGTTTAAAGATCATTTCTCATGTGGGCTGTTTAACCTTTATCAATTAATGGAAGCAGGAGGATGAGATATAAAAAAGCAGAGGAGAGAGAAGGGGGATGACAACTAGCAAAGTGGGGGTTATAAGGATTTAGCCTAAAGCTACCAGGGCACCTTGACATTGATAATGTTTGTTGTCACACTTGTGCTTTCTTCTACTGTAACAAGTTGAAACGCATGCTGGAAAGTGTTGAAATCTGCATAAAAAGCTGTAGCTGTCCATTTAAGGGCAGAAAGAACAAGCTGTAAACACAGCCATGTTTACTTGCTAAGTCAATATTACAAACAGTAGTCTGTTTCCATTGAGCGCTCTCGTTTTCTGAGAGATATTTTGCTCTCTAACCACTTATTACTCTTCTACGTTCATCGCTGATTTAGATTGTCAGCTGGTCTGTTTGGCGCAGCGAGTAAACATTGAGTTTTTACAGCTGTAAAAACAGCTGCCCCCATAACAGCTGCCCTCAGCAGCCAAAAAAAAAAGCTGCAATGCAAGCGAGGGACCTCAACAATAAAGTTGTGGAAATCAAGAAAATCAAAGCAATAACTGAAGAGCTGAAGGGAACAGTGAAGGGTCTGATAACTCTGAGGGTTTGTCACTACCAGAGATGCATTTCACGTCATGTTTATTCATTTTATCTATTGTTTTATAAACAAATAATTATTATTTATTGGGACTAGCCCTGCAGAGCAGGAATGTTGTGAGTAAGCGCCCTGCTTGTATTTCTTGTTATTCACACAAAGAGGCTTGGTGTAAAGTCGCAGAATCTGTTTCGATGTGCGTCAAGGAAGAGACAAAGTCAATGGACAGATGCAGAAGATGTTCACAGGCATATGTGCTTACCAAAGAAAGCGTTTAAAAGCTTCTGCACTTGGATATTGCTGCCAACTGTTCTGTACACTCCTTCTTGATCGACTCCTGGAAAGATGAGAGGGGGAGGTAAAAAAAAAGAGGGAGAGGGGGAGTATGATCGAGACAAACACGAGCAGTGGAAATATACCACATGCTCCTCTTCTCAACCTGCATGAGCCGAAGTTAGAATACAGATGTTCCTTTCTGATTATGAGCATTTCTTTGAATCGCGTACTGAGCCAACTGTCTGAATCATGAGTCACATGACGTGTTTATGGGCTGAGCACTTCATTCCGTCAAGATTTATCATCCTGCCAGAGAAACTACCTGGGACAGTAGGATAATAAGATACAAACGCCTTTAAAATATGTTTGAGAAGTTAAAGCAGAGAATCATTGTCAAAAATTATTAGTCAGAAAATATCAGGCAGTGCTTAATATTCAGGGATAAAGCTGATGATTAAAGTTCTGTACAACCTGAAAAAGACTCTTGATTTTGATTCCAGACGAGGGCAGCCTGCAGGCATGGAATTTACACGCAACCTTGACTCAATAACTCCCCCCTCAGGGTAACGGACGCAACTAAAAGCAGCCCAAATACACCTGTGACTGGTTCCTTTACCTTTCGTTTCGATGTAGTTGATGCACTTTCGCACAAACTTAAATCCAATTTCGTTCAGTTCCACTGTAAAAGGAAGAAGAAGGAGCAAATTTACCAGACGTCCATCATTTAAAGAGTGAACAAATTAAAGACAGATGCATTCGGTGACATGGGATGGAGAGGGAGAGAGATGACATGCCACATTAAATGAACAATACCACTTGGGTAATGGTGACAGACTTACTTTCCGCTTGCTTGTGGATTGGGGAATGATAGATCTGAAATGAAAAAAAATTGAAAGGAAATTGAAGACTGTGAATATATGAGAAAAATCTGTCTGGGCTTGGACGACTCATTGATTAATGAACACAATGTGCTTCTTAAAACAGAAAAAGGAAAGAAAAGCAGGTGATGATGATGGCACAAACCTATCTCCATAGAGATCTAGCTTTCAGGAGAGTTCCAGGTCATTGTTAGCAGATACAAGTTCAGTGTGAAATGATTAGAACAGTTACAATGCTGTGTTTTTTTTTTCTGTTGACTGGTTGTGTTTGAAGCAGTTTGGTTGATCAAAACCAGCACATGAATTTCGTCATAAACATCAGTATTCCCCCCCCTCCCCATTTCCTGTGTGCTCTGGGAATAAGTTACTCAAAACCATCTTGATGTTCAGCAAAACAACAATCCCAAGGAGGCTATGCATCCAAATTTAGAAATGTAATCTATGTATGCAAATGTGATAAAGCCACAGTCAGATCAAGGAAGCACTGACGGTGAAGACTGAACATTTTCTACCACATTTGAAGGACTCTTTCCATGTTTGTGGATAAAAGAAAACAGACTGAATGTGTTACTACTTAGGTAACTTCGGTAACGAAGGGAAACATGTTGGTCGATTTTCCTCCCCTCTAATGACGACTAGGTTCAGCTGAAATCATAGATAACTCGTCTTGTGCAGACTGCTATTAAAGTCATCTCCAAACACTCTATGAACAGTCTGTTGTCAGACAGAGGCAGAAAATGGTGTCTCACATTCTTTACTCTGAGTTTCAGCTTTTACCCTCTGGGAGAAGATTCAGGGTCCCTCAGACCACTGAGACCAGACTGAACCGCTACAAACATTCATTCATGCTGATGTCCGTTAATATTCTGGATAACAGGTAATGTAGGATGTTGCCAAGGGGCCGTGCAATATGTCAATATGTCACTGCTGCAGGAAGGTGTTTTTATGTACAGAATATGTGGAGTTTTTACACCTTTTGTATGATCTCTATTTATATACATTTTAATTCTCTTGTAACTGCAGGACAGAGTCCAAGACAAATGTCGCTGTGTCGACAATAAAGTATATCTTATCTTATATTTTATTCGTAGTGGAAAGAGCACAGAAGGATTTCCTGAAGGTGTAATAATAGGTTTTGTCACTTTGGCACCTTCATATTTGGTTCAAACCAAATCTTCTTGGTTTGAAGACAAAACTGAAACTAATGGACAGATCACATGACTCCCTACTGTTCCCTTTTTATATTGCACCTTTTGAAGGGCAGCCTATTAAAGTGTTTAAAGGGGGCAAAAATAATAGTTAAAAAAAAAAAATCGCAATTAACCTATGAAGACAAACCTTTCACAAAAATGCATTTCACAGACACTAAAAACCTGCTGCATGTTATTCCCCACTCTGTCTCCCAGATATCTGACTCTATCCACTGTTCTGTTACATAAATACATAAAAATCCCAAAAGTAAACCTGAAAAAAGAAGATTTTCTAAAAAGCATTCTCTGCAGCAGTCTTATGTTTTACTTAGACCTGTCGAGTCAACATTAGAAAAGTTTATCCTGCTTAAAAATACACACTAACAACTTTTACTCTGCTTTGACAGAAGGGTTTACATTCTTGCCATGACTGTGTTTTTAAAGGAGTAAGTTCACGGATTTTAATATAATTACATTTTCATCTGGCAGTAAATTCTTAATGTTGTTATGTCTGAAACAACAGGTCTGAAACAGCGTCTTGTACTCAAGGGGGGAAATGACTTTGACTGTTTTGGTTCAAAAAACATGGGGCATCTTATAATATTCTATCATCTAAGCAAAGGGGGGTTGTTCAGTTAAAGGGGGTGAGAAAGGACCCTTTATAAGAACTCCACAAGTGATTTGTTTTGACTACTTTTCAGAATAGCCAATTAAAACAACTTAGGAGCTTTATATAATTGGAACAAATTTAGCAACCACCAGACAGATAGAGCCATTTTTGTAGTCTGACAAATACTATGTTATGGTTAACTGTATCGAATATAGCGCCCAGAGTCAGTAGTACCAAAAGTGACACCTGATGTGTCACTGCTCAGATGAATGTGGTTTCAAAACCCTATCAAGTACAGCCTGGTTGCTATGTGGAGAAGGTCAACCGGGTTTTTGCTCCCATGGCTCCAGGGAGACTTTTATCACTGAGGTCGTGGTTAACCCATGTGAAAGAGAACGGAACCGGCGATTATCTGACATTTTTATAGGACCAATAACTTCACAATCAATCCGTTATTAAAAACAGTGGTGATTACTTGTCTTTATTGCACGAAACAGCAGAACTTTCCACATAAACAAAGACTCTTTGAAGGCAAGAGAGCAGGGTGTTGATCTGGATCAAGGGTTATTATTTAACCACAAAAAAGTCCCTGCTCGGGGGGGTGGTACTTTATGTAAAGACTGGACAGTATTTTTAAAGTTTTACTATAAAAAACAGGCTTTGAAAATGTACAAGAGTTAGAGTTTCAATCTGCTTTTAATTGCTCATCTTGTCCATTGTTGCCTGAAAAACTAATGTGCAAAGCACAATGGAAATCTCTGCCATGCTGAGTGTTTTTGCCTGTCTGTTAGATAATCTAATCATCCTAAATGCTGCGTCATAACATCAAAGTCAAATCAAAGTCAAGTTCTTAACTCATACAGACTGACAGTAAGACAGAGGAGTGGCAGGACGTTTGTAATAAGATGCAGAATACACAGAAGCATCCCCATGTTCAAACAAGTACAGTGTTTCCCCTAGGTTTACAGCTTTGGGGGGGTGGGTGGTGCAGGCAGACGGACGCCGACACAAACACTTTAAGGAATGTTGGTGTTCTTGCGTTTCTTTTAATGACAGCTGTCCTGTTCTATCGGAAAGGGATCCTTAAATGACTTATTTCCGACTCTATCCACTATCCTATTTCTACAATAAAAGGCACAAAAAGCCAAAAAAAAAAAAATATATATATATATATATATTTATTTTATTTTATTTTTTTTAATTAACTTGACCTTCAAGGGGGGCAGGGGGTGCCATGGGGAGGGCGGGCCGCCCCCCTAATATAATGGTAGGGGAAACACTGTTCCCAGCAAGTAACAGCATGCACTGGCATACTGCAGTGTGAGGCCCAAATGAGCTGATTTGAAGTTTCCATCTGACAGAGGGGAGAGAAGCAGTGTTGCACTTTATATTTCAGTGACACAGAAAGCCAAAGGGCATTGAGAGTGTAGTAGAGTCAGAGTGGCAGAAGAGATTATCCTAAAAGACCACAGAGTTTATCCTGGCTGAGGGCTCACAGACATGGTGATTCCATGTGGAAGATCTTAGCTTGAGAGTATTTGGGCGAAGTGGTTGGAAAAAGCTCTTGTGAAATGTTCTTGATGTTAGGGAAGTTGCACAGAAAGAGGGCAGTGAAAAGTGTGCCTTTTGTTATTTTCACATCCTCTGGCAGTGGCTGACATTAGACCATAAGTCACACGACATCTGCCGCTAAAGCATTACATGAAAATGCAATCTGACAAGAACTGCAGAGGAATCCAAACTGAAATAAAACTTGTGTTTAGAGCCCAGACCAAAAAGCAGAATTAAGGGTTTGAAATTTTGCAAGCAAAGCAAAATAAACCGTTAAGGCTTGAAAACTTTGACAGACAATTTCCACATGAACACAACTTTCTAAATTCAGACACAAACTTGATTTAATGAGGGGGGAAATAGATAACCTGAAATAATGTGAACTCTGTTGTTGCTTCAAAGGGCTTTTAAGGTTATTCTCGTGCCATCACTTAGTCGTACACTGATGGCTTTAATGTGTCTCCCATATATCAGTTTTACAAAAAACCTTGACATCATTTATGTCTGCAGATCTTCACAAATGTTGTTTATGAGTTATTGTGTGTCTTGTGAGTTTTACATTAAAAAATAAGCATGACAGCAACAACATTATTGTTTCCAAATTCTATTTTTCTCAAACAGCAGACCAATAATGTCCTTTATTGTCTCTCGTCTTTTTCTCTTACGGTGTTCGACAGGATGATTTTAACTTAGTGCAATCAAACAAAGAAGCTGCAAACGCTTTCTCAGTGTAGCTTCTTCCTAAAAAAATGAAACTTGTGATTACAAAACTAACTACCTGCCAATAATTAGAGGCAGTATTTCAAGAAGAAGAAAAATAGGCCAGACTTGGAGAAACTCGGCAGATTTGAAGTGGAAACTGGCTCTGGGAGTTTCATGTGTCAACACAGTAGCTGACTCCACATTGCACTGCCGATATTCTGGCAGTAAAGTCGTTCTCACAGACTTTTTATCAAGGAGAAGACAAACCCGCAAAAAAGATTTGTTTAATGAGAAATTAACTCACAGGCTCTTTTCCATCCATGGCCTCCATCCACAACTTCCTCTCTCCGTCAGAAAGAGCCTGGAATGTGACTGGAGCGTTTCTATGGAAACAGAAACAAATGCCATTAAATAGGCAAAGGTTGCCGGTAAATTATTCCGTAGCAGGATGTGGTGCTATCGCATCCAACCATTGTGTCTAAAACTCGTAGAAATCTCACAAAATGTTTTATGCAAAACAGGTTAGAAAGAAATCTGAAAAACAAGAAAAAAGGATTCTGAGCGTTTCATATTCCTGTGAGTGGAAAGATGGAGGTTTAAATGAAGATGAATAAGACAAGCATGATGAGATGATGAAACTCTATTATTGCTTTCTGTGTTCTTTAGAAGACAACAACGTCTGGTGCCAAGTTCTGCAGCGTGTGGGTGACTGAATCAAATGTTAACTAACTGTGTTACAAGTTGAAAGCTACGTCTGCCAACTGCACCAATCCAACTCTTCCAAATGTTAAACTTTTATACATCCACAAAATAATATCTATATCTGAGAAAAGTAGGTGACGTGATCGGTAAAGAATATCTTAATGTGTGTCTATGATATAGACTATTTCTGACTTCCTTTTCGTCTCTCAAACACATCTAATATAAAGTCCATCTGGAGTGGACCGTAACATTAGTCAATGGACACATCACAAGAGCTACAGTATCATATGAGATCACTGCAACAACAGCAGCTGTAACGCAATATGAAAAGGAGCTGAAAAGTATTTTCGAATGAACAAACAAATAGCTGAATAATGTTGTGTTAAACAGAAACAACCCAGAGTGTTTTATTTATAATTATTTAGAAACAAAGGCCAACAGTGATGTATGTTTTTTGTTGATTACTGGCAGTAATGTCATGTTACTAGCAAAGGTTTTTCTCCTGTAACTCTCTCATTACCTTTGTCGTCTATTTCAGCTACTCTGAAGCTAAAAGTTCTCAAAAATCAAACCATTTGACTAAAAGTACTGACGTGATGTACAGAAAACGGTCAAAGTAATTATTCTGTTGTATGCAGACAGAACCTAAACAGAAAAGTAACACATTTTCTGTAATGTAGCTGCACTATGATTGACTACACGTTCCTCTAGGATAAAACTTTTAAATTTTAAAATATATATATTTGATACTGAGTTGAATGTGCTTTGATTTGAGAGTATGTTGAGAAAGTTTATTGCAAATGTAAAATGTGAGAGTATGTTATTAACAAAATGTGGTCTGAGCAGGAAATTTACAAAAATGTGTGCACTGTGTTCAATCTCCACAAAAAAGTTTGAAAAAAATAGGAGTGTAAATGTTTTTTTTAAATTATAAAAACAATCTTGTTTTTCCTGATTAATCTTCAGCACTTACACAACTGTATCTGAATGGGTCACCTCAAACAGGCAGTCACACACTAGTGCACACTGTCCCCTCTCTATCCTGTGTACAGTATTCACTTTTTCTGTCTGTCCTTCTGGAGACATCAGAGGTCAGAGGTCAGGGTCTGGTCCTACCATTTGGGGGATTTCAGGGACTATCATACAGGCAGATGGCTCAACTCTAAACATCTTGATCCGACAACGTTATCTTCTACACTAGACAGCACTGCCACCTTCAGTTTATCACACAGCCAGCTCTTTATTATGGTGTTATTCAGCTCACACACTAATTGCTCTTCATGCCGAGGCTCTTTCATTCATAATTCAAGCCTCTTGTAAACCTTAAAAAAATAACCCGCCAGCCTCCAAGTATTGCCAAAGACTTCAAGAAACCCGAATACAACAGAGCTGCTCAAGTGTCTATTCAAATTGATTTGACCTGCTTGTTTAATTATGAGCTTGTTGTTTTCCTTCTTGTGAAATCACTAAGTCTGCCATCTGTTTTTCAGCGTGCGCCTGTTGCTCAGGGATTGTTTGGGCTACAGTCCATTTAGCCCTCACACTTTGTCCTTGTGAGCCACCTGTTCAACTCGACGCCTCAACCTGTTTATCCCACAAGGCTCTTTAGTTGCTTCATCTTGCGGTTTCCTCTGATTTGTTTGTGCTAACCTCTCATTTGTTTCCACGTCAAAGCAGAAGCGCTTGTCGATGGACTCGGTTTTCCGGCGGATGCAGGATTTCATCGTTAGCTGCGTGGGGCCCTGGGGAGAAAGAGACAGATTTGGGACGTGATTGGCCCATGTGACGATGACAAAAAGGACAAACAGATGTTTGTCTGAGGCTAAAGAAGGTGTTGATTAAGCCTTAATGTAACGCAGTTCTCTTCTATTTACGGACCTGTTTAGCTGTGGGCTTCTGCTCGCAGGGCACCATGAACAGCAGCCTCCCCTCCTTGAGATACTTGCAATAATATTTAACCCATGACACACCCAAAGCCCCTGTAGAGACAAAAATAACAAAACAGGACGGCCCTCGTCAGAGAGCGTTCATGCAAGTGGGAAGCTTCTTCATTTACATCTTGTACACTTACACTTCTCCTGACAGTATAGATAACCCTCCATGGGTTGACTGTGCATTTTACAGATCTGGGACGGGTGTTTCATCCTCTTCATCAGCTCCTCCATCTCCTCCCGAGTGCTCTCGTAGTTGTTTCTTGTCTGCCGGAAATAAATAAAAAACAGACAGCATTTTAGATCAAGGAAGTTGGATTAAATTATATTCAATCTGAATGATGGCACTGTAAAAGCTTACATTCTGCAAGCTGAGCTGCAGTTCTTGCTTGTAAGGCATAAAGTCCTGAGTCATCTCCACTGTCAGGTTGTTGAGCGTCAAAATGCTGTGAAGGAAAGCCAGCACCTGTCCAACCAAAGCAGGAGACACATAGTTAAAACAAAGCCAGAGCACAAAGGAACCACTGTAAGAAATTAAGAATAACTAGTGGGATTGTTTTCGTCTATCAAGTTCTCGCTCTGTGTATTTCCTCATTGTGTTGTTACAGGTTTGTGGTCACACACACAGAGGAAGAGAGGCAGACCTCCGACAGAACTCACCGGCTCCACCACATCAAACTTCTTCCTGTCCTGAACCTGATGGATCTGATACACGTACTCCACCGACGATTCATAGAAGTTCACTCGCTCTTTGTCCAGGAGTTCATCAGCCTGCAGTAGAAATTTAAAAGAAACGTCCAAATTGTGTTTCTCTCTCTCTCTCACCAACCAATGAGTGCTTGTTGTACTTCACCTCATGCAGTTGACTCTCTTTCTTCTTGCAGGACAGACTCAGGTGTTTGTCCACCTGGGAGTAATACTTTTCACTGTCTTTCTCAAACCTCTTCCTCTTCTCCTGAAGGACAGAATTGCAAAAAAGAATAATTAAACCAGGATCACATTAAGTTTGTTTGGGTGTCCTGATCCTGTAGATGTCCATTCAAATCATAATCAACTCTTGGAAACCAATGTGTTAAGACTGCAAACATGGGGCTAGTTAGTTTGGGCGCGCCATGTACAGAGACTGAGGCCCTAGAAGCAGACAGCCCGGGTTCAAATCCCACCTGAGGCCCCCTATCCTGCATGACATTCCCCACTATCTGTGTCCCAAGTTTCTGACTCTATCCACTGTCCTGTCTCTCAATTAAAAAGGCATAAAAAAAGCCCCAGAATACATCCCAAAAAATGACCTTAAAATAGTAAATTCTGGAAACAAGTTCAAATAATCACATTTCAAACGTTTAAGTTGTGTCATTGAGGGGGCGCTTGTGAGAAAAGACTGGCAATTGTTCCACTTAATTTGAACACTTTGACTGTTGCTGTTATTACATTTCACTTTTGTAGAGCGGACAGGAAGTCCTTCTCTGTCTCATCAAGTGTTCGAGCCAGCATCAATACTTTTTTAAAGTGGGTGAAGAAAAGAGGATATGTTGTAAATATGAATTATTTCCACATGTTATTTAGAGCCTGCACAACGTTGTATATTTAAGGTTTAGTTAAAGATAGCCGTGAGGGGGAATGAAGTCTTTTCAGTCAGCTGAGCAGAACCAGAGAGAAACACAAATGTCATGTTGAATAATTGAGGAGACATCCCACAGAGCTTCCTGTTGTGAAATTAAGTATTGGTGAATGTGCACTGACGGTGGGGGGGTCTCAACTTTTCTTTGGACTACACATTTTAACATGTGAAAGTCTTAGAGAGGTAATAGAGTTCATGATAATTAAAGTGTTTAATGATGTAACATACAATTATTAATAGATTTTAGGAAGTGGAGTGAAAGAACCCGTTTGTTTTCTCTCCATGCTTAAAAAAAACTGAGCAGGTGCAGGACTCTGTCAGTGCAGTAAATGTCTAGTCTAATGAATAACGTTGTGTTGTTTTGACCAGGGGTCTCGTTGTTCTGTCTTAATAAAAGTTTAATAAAAAAGAAGAAAAAAAGAAGAGGAATCAGAACCAGCACTCACTTTTGTGACTCCCAATTGCTCCTTTCTGAACTTTTCCAAGGGCTTGATGAGCAGATCAGAGGCATTCTGAACCTGGACAGACAAACTTGAAGCAGTAGTTAATGTGGCCATCTAAGATTTCATAGCTTTATAAATACACTTTAACACAATGGATTGCCATTAAAACACGCACAACATTAAAAAGGTGAAGTGGATTATCTGTGGGGTGAAGACATGTGTATTTCGGTAAAAGGGGGTTAACTTGTGGAATAGTTATGATATGGAATTAAGAATGTGGTGCTCACTTTCCAGATTTACATTTTTGTTTGAAAAAGTTGTGTTTAACAAGTATAAAAGACCTGTTTGATTATTTTTTTTGTGTGTAGAAATGCCGTTTGATTTTGTTTGCTTCATTTCTTTTGTTTTGATTTGTAAGAAATGTTTGGAACAATTTTTGTTCTGATATGTTTTTTTGTCGTGCCTAGTCATGCCTAAAATAATAAGATTTGAAATAAGGGTAGGAATAATAAGCTAAAGCTTCAGCCTACACCTTTTCAGTCAAATTTTTCTTCTCATCTTTTCTTGAAAGCACCTGCCTTGTAATTTTTATTCTACTATTTTTACGCATTTCTTAATGGAAAACTGTACATGTTGACCGAAATAAAAAAAATGACTACTACTACTACATGCTGAAAAACGTGTTGAATTCAATATCTTTCATGTTATGAATACTAATCTCCCACACCATGGCAACAGTGTGGCAGATGACCTCCACTTTTAACATAAGATCACTATCCAGTAAAGCCAGTCTAACAGGTAAAGCTACTTCTAATGACACGACCGGATTGCTGAAGTGTAAGCCGAGGTGACGCCACAAAGAAGATTAGATTGTGTTTTATCTGGCATGGTGAAAGTATAGAGAGTGGGGAAATCTATTAGTTATTGAAAAAAATAAAGATGGTCAAAATAATGAGTAAATAACAAGAGATAGAGAATTAAATTGTACTACATACATATACGATGTAAAAAAAGTGTTAAAAACAGAAGAAGTGATGAGAACACCGCGGAAAATGTATCAACAGACAGGATACATTTAAGAAGAAACAAAAAGGGAACAAAAAGGGAACAAAAAGAGAATAAGCAAACCAAAAGGGGAACTGAAAGTAAAATAGCTGAATTTCCCTTAACTCACACACACAAGGCACGCACACTTACACACACAAACACACACAAAAAGGCGCACACACACTTACACACAGGATGAAGGTGTGTTTGCGAATCTTGGAATTTCAAGAACCAGAGACATTGAATATCTGGTTCACACCACAAGGTGTTGATACTTTATCATAACAAACAGAAAGTCAAACAGAGCGTGCCAAAAGTTGCATTCTAAACTGGTGTAACCTTTCAGCGCAGGATGTGTTAATTGGGTTTCTATCAGTAGCGGAGGGTCAAATAGGATGCAGAGTCAGCGTGGAGGATGTTGATAACCCACCAGCATCATCCTGTCGTGCTCCACTTCCTGCAGTAGTCCTGCAAACTCCTGAAACGACTCCGCTGGGGATGAAAACACAAAGATGACAACCAGAATGAAAACTTCTCTTATCTTAATGGTCTGACGCAGAAAACACAACTGGAACTATTAAAAAATAAATCCCCCCCACTTTCATCAGAATACACTTTCTGGTGATGACTGAATACCCAGCTACTTCAAGGACATAAGCTCAAGTGTGTGTTATCCAAAAACCCTAACCCTTTTGTTTCCAAACTGCTTACATCTATGATTCAGAGGAATCACAAACTGGCTGTCAACATGTTCTTTCCACTGAGGTCAAATACAGGAAGACTTATCATAACCTAAAGTTTGTTATGAATCTATTTAGTAAATAGTTAACTCAGCGGGAATAAGACATGACATTTCCTGCAGACCCTCTAGCACTCAGTTAAGCATTAAAAAAAAAGTGTGTGTAGTTTTACCGATGTTGATCTCATCGTCAGTCAGGGAATCCCCGATGAATTCAAACTGGAAATCTCCGAGAGTCTGGGAAAACTTCTGCACTGCCAGAGAATAACCTATAAAAGAAAAAAAGAAACAGGAGGCCATTTAATATATTGTTATTGTCAGTGAGGCATTTTGGGCTCAATTTAAGAGTCTACAATAAACAATAATCTACAGGTCTTTAAATTCGACTCCATCCTTACAAATATTAGTCTATATCAGGATTATTTTTTATTTAGATATTATTATTAGTAGGTGGGAAGAAAAGAGATCATCTGTTGTGTTCAGTAGCACAACAGCAGGCCGTACACAGTGTGATATAATATTCCTGCTATGACTGAGCTTTACAGTCAAAAACATCAGTCAGATCAAATCTGACGTGCATTTCGCCTGAAGGACGTGGCATGACATCTTTGTTAGCACACTCAAATCCCTGAAGCAGCCCTTTCACATGTTTATTCCTCCTGTACCTGTGCCTTCTTTATAAGGTTCAGTTGTAAACAAAGTGCGGCTCTCACATGATTGCAGCGGGAGATGGATACAAAAGTTGAACAGAACACAAGCAGTGAGTCCTACACACTGGACGGGAGATTAAATTGACTTTCATGAATATGTGTTGGTGCAGCTTGCACTCGTGACCTCTGACTATTATGTGAGCTGAATATACAGTGGGACCCTCAGCACTCTGCAGCACCTACAATGACAGGGTCTGTTTCTGAGGTCAAATGCTTGTAATTGCTGGGTTGGGCAGCAGAATAATTTCTTGTTGACTCAAAACTCAATAACAAACCACAAGTTTGCACCTTCGTACGTTGTGCTGTGACTGGCTGTGGAAACTACAACCAGCAGCAGAGGGATTACAAACAACATCACACAGGGAGGAGAGGACAGATACTGGACACATCCTGCAGGAGGAGGCAGCTGTGTTGCTTTTTGGGAGCTGGTCATACTGCACATCTGCATCACATATCTGTCCTTTCAAAGCAGTTTGTTTGGTTTTCTCCCTTTTGAGCACTAGCACCTCCCTGATTGTGCTTTCCCAGCCACCCACAATGCTCCTATAGGCCATCTGAAAGGCCCACTGATGCTAGTCTCCAGCCTCATCCCTGCAATTGTTTTTTTTTTTTTTAAAAAGCTGTTAGTGACCTAAAAAATAAGAGAGATCACATTGAAGCAGGCTTACCCTTGATTGCAGTGATCACACTGTTGCCATCTTTTATCAACTCTTTGAGAAATTTGCCGGTCCTCTCCAGTTCCACTTCATAACACTTCAGAGTCTCCCTGAAGTCCGGACTGTCCAGATAGCATTCATTAAACTCCAGAGGAGGATGCCCCATTTTCAAGACGACCGGGTTTTTTTAGACAATAGAGGCAATGAGTTTGTTTTAGTGAGCCACGCAGCCTACGCTCGTCTAATGCCCACTGTCCATACTGCTCTCTCGCACTGCTCTCTCATCTGCAAATAGGAGCACAAACCGTGGTGTCCGTGGGAGCCTGCGGCAGCTACTGGTCTGATATAAAGTGAACCAAACACTGACGAGGCGAGAGTTTGGTTCACTTCCTCCTTTACCTTGTTTGACACGCGTTCAAATAGTAATTTAATTGTATCCTTCGCCTCTTTGACACTTTTTCCTTGTTGCAGCGTCGTGATTAGAACAGCGGCTTGAATCCTTTCGGACGCGTCCCATTTCGAAATATTTCAGACTTTCATGAGACCTAATCCCGACCTTTACGTTAATTTCAGATCTATTTTTGATTAGTCAAGTGATCAGTACACCATAACATCACTAAATTTATATTTGTAAATATATAAATGTTTCAAATGATATACCATATTTGTTAAAAAGTCTAAAATGTCTGCGAGGAGGGTACCACAAATATGAACCGGACGAAACCAACTGGCTTTAGGCTCACTAAAAACTCCCTCCTTTCCACACCCAGGAGGTTCTTAAAGGGGCCGCTGCACAGTTTGGAGCGAGTCTATAAACGATGGTGCTTTCACGCACTTTCTGGAAATGTGCTCAGTCAGGATTCAGCACTGTTTAAAAGTGACAATCTGTTTCGTTTTCTATACTTACCATGCCTTTTTGAATATGTGAACCCAATCGTCAAGTATTTTTGCTTTATACTTTTTTGGTAAATTGTATTTTTGTGCATGTTTACATGATTATTTTGCCCTTTTCCCCTTTTTTATATGTTCAAAATACATTTCAAATTATTTAAAATTTCAATTCAATTCAATTTCAATCTTTATTAATGAAGAGATATAAAACCATTACTTTAAATAACAAAAAAATAAATACTATGAAAACAAAAGCCTACTGCATTAATATCAGAGATAAAGGCATCTTTATATATACTGAATAACCACGATAATTAAGAGAAGAAAAAAAATACATTTAAAACAATTGTATTAAAGATTCTCTAAAATTATTCCAACTTAAATTTCATAAATTTTTCCAGAGTTTATTTTCATCATTGATTTCCTTATTAGAAATTGACTGAAAAATTTCACCCAACAGATTTAGAAAGGAATAAGATCAAACAACAGAGAAAACGTTTTTTTGGAACTGTTCAATTACTTAAGATAAGAAATCTCAAACAAGGATTATATGATTGATTATAACCACACTACAATCAATAAGGTGCTCTTGAACAAGGCCCTTTCCTTTAAGTTGCTGCTGTGACTAGTTTACTAATATTGTTTGTTGATCATTTCCCAAACTGACTGAAGCTCTATATTTTGGAATATTTTATTTTTTATTAAAAGGAGCTCATGATTCAGACTTACGTAAAGACACATAATGCATCATCGGTGACATCCATGTGATTATTCCTCAGAGAGACAGGTCACACCTGGGTGGGTGTGTTCCTGCACTGAACATGGGTGTGTTCCTGCACTGAACATTAAGCTCTATAATCATACCTGGCCTTTCCCACGCAGCCTCACCAGACTTACCTTACATAAGCACTGCAGTGTCTGTCACAGCACACAACTAATGCTGCAACATATTCAGAAAGTATTATCAGAAATATATTATGATGTCACCAAGAAGAAGATATACTTTATTAATCCCACGAAGGGAAATTAATTTCACACTGTTATTGAACATGCTACACACGCATAGGCTGAAATACACACACGTGCACTAATGGAGAGATGTCAGAGTGAGGAGGCTGCCTCCAGTGAGCGTTCCTATATATAAAGATAGACTATAGAGATACTGAAGTACAATCAGGTAATGTAACTCTGTTGTTGCACTTTGGACGAGTGACCGTAATATAAAATAATTGATTAGGCTATAGCTTTTTATCATGTTGATCATTGCCTGATGTCAAATGTGGCAGGAAAATAGCTCTGAAATGTTGCAATGACTGTAAATGACCCCCAGGTGTCATCCTTCAGATTTAACTGAGGAGGGAGAGAGAGAGAGAGAGAGAGAGAGAGAGAGAGAGAGAGAGAGAGAGAGAGAGAGAGAGAGAGATGGTATCACACATGGGACAATATCCATTCATGTCATGGTCATATGGACCACAACCTGCCTCTAACCAAAACTTTACATTATTGGGTCCACTTTTTGTCCCTGGTGTAACAAATCTGTAAATCAGGTGATAAAGCAGGTGACTAAATAAAACAGGAATCCCAAAAGATATGACCGGTTCATCATTCTCATCCCAGTGACCTTCAGGTTGAAATCTTGTATAGCTCCAGGGCATTTTTGATATTTTGTTTTCAGTACATGTTACAATGTTACAATTTAGTCAGCAGACACTTTTATCCAAAGCGACATACATCAGAGAGTAAGTTCAACACTAATCCATTCATACATCGCCACCGAAACAGCAGGTGCAGTGCAGGGTTAAATGTCTTGCCCGAGGACACATTGGACATGTTGCTCAGCTGGGGGTTGAACCCTGGACCTTCCGGGTTGAGAGCAACGTCTCTACCAACTGAGCCACAGCCACACATGTATGTGTCAGTCAGAAAATTACAGAAGAAAGTGAGACAGCACCTCTGAGACAACAGGAAATACTAAACTTCATTCAGTTTCCACGAGAAAAATCTAAAATAGTCACAACTCTCCCCCTCAGTATGCAACCCCTGTATATCTACCTCACTTTACATAAATACAGTTGAAGTCAATTGCTTGTTTGTACAAAAGCTGTTTTCATTTTTACTCTAAAAAGTTCAATATCAGGATTGTAAATCCATCCACTCCATGCTGGTGATACAATCATGTGATCTGACCGCATCACAGGATCATCATTTTAAAGTCTGCATTAAAAACCTCTAGGCCTGTATTATAAATATACTAGTAAATCTAGCCTCCTTAAGGACAACATGGGTGAATTAAACAGCTGGTTGATGCTTAGGAATTCCTGCTCTGTTCTTTATTTTTATTGGGAAAAAGACTCAGCAGAGCACTTCTCTTTGGAATTTGGAAAGACATCAGATTGTCCGTAAAAACACATAATGAGAATTGTAGCTTAAAAAATGTGTGAAAAAAATGTTACTTGATATTGTTCCATTGTTAAAATAAAATAAAAAAATAAAAAACATCTAGTATTTTTACCAATCGTAGAATCCAGTATTCTTCTCCGTGTTGTGAACTTGTCACTAACTGAAAAGTTATGTAAGAATAGAGAAATTGGTTCATGGCAAACAGTGACGAAATGTCCAACTTATTTTTAACTTTTGAGTAACTCTTCAACTGCTCAGACCTCAGAGCGGTCACAGAGGAATATTATTTCTTATCTTACTTCCCTTGTAATACATTTTACATGAAATCTGAGTCACCATTGGGATTAGACGTCTATAGCAGAGGCGGTTAGGAGAGATTGTCAAGCTATCATCCTCCTGAGCTGCTGCTGAGGCTGACAGGCTGTAGGTGTGACTGTATAGCCTTTGGATGACAGAGCTTTGTTCAATGCTGTCAAAGTGATTGTTTTTGTAGCTTAGGCTGTGCTATAAGTGTCAGGATGAGCCTTCTATTGATGTAGATGTGTTACTGAAGGTTTTGTGTGTATGGGTAACAAATCTGCAATATCTAGCATGTTTGGATTATATCCTAATAACTATTTCTACATCTTGAACCGTTAGTGTTCTTCTATGCCAGCAGTGATTTGTAATTTGATTGGACAAATATGCAAACTGTCTCCATGGATCAGGGGAAGAATAAAACTTATTGCAGGGGTTATTGCAATTTATTATGTATCACTTCATTTGTGACTTTCGAAAGGCAGAAATTAACTCGAGGTCATCGTAGGAAAGCGTGTCTGTCTGATGAACAAGAACTTGATCCCACAGAAATACGTCAAACATTGCTTGGCCTGGTTTTTAGAGAGAGCAGACTAACTATGTTGTCAAATATTAGTCAGGCAGCAACAATGTGGACATAAATGCTGAGGAGGAACACTAGATGTGAGACTGATAATGATGATGATACCCACTTGTCCCTCTTATCTTGAGATTTCATGGGTCACTCTCTGTTTCGTGCCTTTCTGTTTTTACTCCATATTGCGTCAAAAACACCCTCTACTTCCTCTGCAGATCGCAGCACAAAGAGGACAAGAGGACAGACGGTGGTCCCCACACAGATTCCTCAGCCGGGCACAAATTAAAACGTTTGATCTGAACTCTGAAGCTGTTTGTTTGGCCTCTCTAAATGGAGCTATTGTATGCAAATATCGCGCCCAGAAGCATATGACCTCTCTAGTGCAGGGCAGTGGCTAGTGTGAGAGAAATCATTAGCAATGCAAAGTCATGGTGCTCTGATACTCTTGTTCACATTGACGTCCGGATTGAGAAAAAAAAATCTGGCAAAGTTAATGTTTCTGGATGTGTTTCATTCCAAACTACAGCTGAAGGTAAGTCTAATTAGAAATGAATGGAGTTTGTTGTTTGTTTGTCTTCTTTGATTTTGGGTTTATTGATGTTGTTGTTGTTGTTTCTCTTAACTTTGCTCTAACGAGTTTCCTAAGCAAAGGATTGGCAGTCAGACAAGTGTATAAGTAAAATGTTTCATCCTAAATATATTGCCTCTTCCAATGGTAATACATTTGAAGTCACTCAGTCGAAAGTGTCTTAAGATTTACAGCTGGTCATAATGAAAATGTAAAGTTAATATTCTCTGAGTCATCAGATGTTTCTTTTTAATGCCCAAAAGGACAATTTTGGACTTCACATCTTTTTCCCAGCTCAAACTTAAGAGTTTAACCCCAGAGTCAACAGTTAGTTTGGGTGTTTGGTTTAGGTGCCACTCTGAAATCTCCACCATGGCTACTGGTGAAAGCATGTCACATGACACATGGTGCCAGACTTCAGTGTTTCACTCTTAAGAGGCCTGCCAGCTGCAGGGAGGTGGCAGAGAGGCTCTCTTCTTCTCCTGATTCACATCCATGCCAAACAAGCGGGTCAACATTGTCCTCCAAGCTGCCTCCTATGCCTCTTACACCTCCAGCTGAGCCGGGTAACAACTCTGACATTTACACTAGACTGGAAATCCAAACAGGCTGGGGACAGACAAACAATACATATCATCAGAGCAGAGGAGATGGAACATTAAGGATGACTAATACATTAAATCTGAACTTTACAAAACTATAATCTTTGTGGGAATATGAGAAAGTATAAAAACCTTAAATGGAGATTAATCTTTACTCAAGTATCCAAAGCGCTCTAACATGAACTCACTATGCTTTTAAAAAATTGTATTGCACATGATTGAGGAAATTGACTTGATCTTTTATCTTTCATACTTTCATAGAAGAAGGTGAGT